TCGACACTCAACCAAATCTTTTTTACAATAAATATATATATATTGTATGTATAAATATATATATAAATAAGTGAATAATTTTGTGGTATTTTATTATATTATTTTTATTATTATAATTATGTATTTTGTTTAAATAAATAATGTCATATACATCATACTGTTGTATATATTATATATACACTAAATAAGTTAATATATATTAAAGAAATACATTAAAATAAATGAAAGAGAAAAACAGGTCTTTTTTTCTTTCAATACACAAAAACATACATAAAAATAATTTAACCAAAAGTTTTATTTTTTATTATTATTATTATTTGTATATATTTATAAAACTACATAATATATAATAATTTTTGTTTGATGTATACAATATAGCATACAAATATACAGTATATATATATAACTACATATAAACAAAACAAAATAAACCAACAAAATAATAATAATAATGTTTTCAATTAGTTTGGGGTAAAAATCGTGATTTTGCAAATTATCAATTTCTTATAGCTTAGTAGTACAGTATATGTATATATATTAGTATTAGTATTAGTAGTTAATATATATATATTGTATGGTTAGGTTTGGGTCACAGGTATGCTATGGGTTTGTCTTGCTTTACTCCTCTTTAATACCTGTGCTCAACCAATATTGTACATAATATAAACTATTGTATTATATATTGTACTTTATATACAGTATATATTATAAAAGAGAGCAATCATTATGTATTTGGGAGATAGAAATACAAGTATATATTATATATGTATACATAAGTGAAATAACTTATGCACTCATGATGTGCTGTTTATTATATATACTGTATATATATATTTAAGGGTAAGTTTTTTTTCTGTGAAAATTAGTTTTTATTTTTTTTGTTTGTTGAATACCGTTGAATATCTGGTCTAATGTTTTATTTTTTTTCACTCCACTCTATGACTTATTATGATTACCTGTTTTGTCCCCTTAAAAACTAAACTAAAACTTTAGCAAACATTAGCTGACACAACAATACAATACCTTATTGCTTCTCATATACAGTATATACTGTTTATATATATATATATATAATACAATATATGTCTATGAAAGCACAGTTCCTGTCAAACGCTTATATTTATTATATATATATATAAATATAAGATTTCAGTTACCGATGTCTACCACTACCGCTACTAATGTTATATTTTTTTGAGAGGTATTTCTCTCTCTCTCTCTCAATATTGGGATTTCTTGAATCCTAAAAATAAAAACATTTTTTTCAGAGAGAGAGAGAGAGAGAGAGAGAGAGAGAGAGAAACGGAAATATAGCCAAACTTAACAGTTTTGTCATATTATTGGTCACGTTTGGCACTTCACGCTTCCGTAAACAATATAAAGTTTTTTGTTTCCCAACCAAAGAAAAAAATTATACTACAATTACAATACAATACATTCAAATATCACTACAAAAAAAATAAAATAAATCATTTTGCTATCAATTTATTATTCAAACTGTTTGTGTTGTGTGACTATCCCTACATATGATTAGATATTGTTTTTACAATTGGACTTGCTTAGTTTGTTTTTCAGGGTACACCTAATTAACAGTATGTGTATGTAGTAGTAGTAGTAGTAGTATACCTGTAAGTACAGTATAAACAAATATTACGCTATAATTTTAAACTAAATAACTTAAGTTGTGATTTCAAATTATAACACACACATAGAAAGAGAAAGAGAGAGAGAAAAAAAAACATTGATATTAATTGAACAGACAATTATAGCGTAAACTTTTCCACATATAATGATAATAATAATTATTATTATTAATAAATAATAAGTGAGGCTATCATTTAACTTCATTTCTTGCTCTAATAGATAGTACAGTATTATAAATGTAATGCAATTTTTTTTACCTTAAGGTTGCAAATATATATATCAGACAATAAAAATAAGTTGTATTTAATTGAGGCAGTGGTGTGTTAATAAAGAAAGAGAGAGAGAGATTGAGACTATGGATTATATACATGAATATATTACTCAKAAAAATATGTATTTTATTAATATAAGTGTATWTAAGTCTATAATATATACAGTATATTAGTGAAAAGGTATTCAAATGCAAAAAATGAGAGTCAAATCCGTGAACAGACTCTTACTTTTCATGTTTGTTGTGAAACATAGTCTCTCTTTTTTTCGGTCGTTTGTGCTCTCAATTGTACGCACCGGTGGTTTAGGGGACGACAGTCGTCGTCGTCTTTTTTTTTTTTTGGTTTGGTTGTTGTGTGTTTCATTGTCATTAAGACAAGTGCATAGCTTATTGTCAAACAAGTGAGTGAGTGAGTGAGTGAGTGAGTGAGWGAGAGAGAGAGAGAGAGAGAGAGAGAGAAAGTGMTTGCTTTATATTTTTTGTTAGCCCTGAGGGCTATAAATGAGATGAAGAGAGAGAGAGAGAGAGAGAGAGAGAGTATGAAAATAAAAGGAAAAAGTGGGCCGTAATTGTGGTAACGGTATGTCAACATTAGGACATATTATATACTGTATATATCATATATATATATACTTTTTTTCAAATAAATTATAAGTAAACTGTAACTTAACTGCACCTAAAAATATTAGCACAACTTTCAAAATCAATTTTAATTAGCAAAAGATTTATTGGTTTCACTTTCTAGTTATTCAGTTATTTATTTATTTATTTTATTTTTTATTATTATTTTTCTAATGCAATTCACTGTTGATCTCAATGTATATATAAATATTATATTTAAAGAGATTTTTTGTTTCTTTCTTTCTCTCTCTCAAAGGTTTTTATGCAAAAAATGTTATGAATTTTTTATGAGATTACTCTGCTTTTCATTAATCAAAACACAAACAAAAATGATTAATAAATATTTCAATATTATTTTGTTTCATTTATTATATTATTAATATTTTTTACCTAATATTTTATCTTTTTTTGTTGAAATAATAACGGAATGTTAAATTTTATAAATTTTTAACACACAAAAATGTTAAAAAATTTTATAAAGAAATATTAAATTATTATTTTTTTTTTGTATACATTTATTAGATTAGCCAAAAAATTAATACAATATGTGTTTGAATACAATATACAAAATATATACATAAATATATTTAAAGAAAAATTGAAAGAAAATTGCTATTTTCTAGAAGAAAAACATATACACAATATGTTATTATTTATTTATATGTATTTCTCCTTTTTAGTAAACAATATAAAAATTTATTTATTTAGAAATAAAGTTTTTAAACAATAAAATAAGAGCAGAGAGAGAGAGAGAGAGAGAGAGAGAGAGAGAGAGAGAGTTAAATTAATGGTAATCATAGTCATCATAATAATAACACACACACACACACACAATAATAATGATAATTTAGTAATAATAATAATAATATATAACAGCAAAGGTGTAACTAAAATAAGTCGATTTCAATAAAATAAAACAATTTAATGCATTTTTATTATTTAGTGTAAATAATAATAATAATAATAATAACATTTTGTATACATGTATACACAAACATAAAAATTAATGCAATAATTTTTGCATAAGTTGCACGCATTGCCCAAATTGACTAATAGCTTGTATGCCTTATTTGTAAATTGTAATAATCATAATCATCTAAGTAATCAAATAATTTTATTTTAGTATTTTTAAACAACAACAACAAACAGCCCTAAAACCATACCAATCCTTACTATACAAAACACTTAACTGTTGAACTTAATATTGTTGTTATAGTTTTTTTTGTTGTTGAGAATATTTTATATAATATATAATTGCAAACAACATTTAACTATACATTATTTAAATTATTTAAAACACTTTCACTCAATTTTTTTTGTATATTAAAGTCACAGCACAATAATAATAATAATAATAAATATTATATATCATTGTAAATGTATTTATCATTCAATTAAAATATAATTTCCTTTTTTAATTTATTATATATTTTTTTGAAACAAAAATTTGATAATGAATTAGTTTTGTTTGTAATATATGTTTTTTATGTTGTGTTATCATAAATGTTAGTCACAAAAAAGCATTTAATAATAATAATAATAATAATTTAATATTTAATAATGTAAATTAATAATATAGTTTAACCATCTCTCTCTCTCTCTCTCTCTCTCTCTCTCTCTCTCTCTCTCTCTCTCTCTCTCTCTCTCATGCAAACACACACACATTTGGTTTGTTTGTTAAAACAAATAATAATAATAATAATAAATTGTAAATGAAATAAAATAAAATGATTTCAATGCAGATATGATTATATATATATATATAAAAATTGTAATTGTTTTGCATTATAATAATAATTGTGTTAATTTTGTTGTCGTGTCTGTGACTCATATGGACTTTTATAATATACTATATTATAATTTTTATTATAATAGCAATAGTAATAATAATATTGAAATATAATAAAATAAAATAAAACATTTATGAAGAAATGCATTTTAATTTATCCAAACTATTATGTAAATGATGTCATCATATGAATTAAATTACATTACATTACAGTATCATATATTGCCATCAAAATCATTGGTGGTGTACCTGAACTCAATTCCCCCATATTTTTTGTATTTAGTTATTTTATTTTTTTTTATAAATAAGAAAACCAGTTATGCATTTAATTAAATTGAATATTTAACTCATATTTTTCATACAATCGATTATTTTCTCATTAATTACAAATTCCTCTCTCTCTCTCTCTCTCTCTCTCTCTCTCTCTCTCTCTCTTTTTATTTATCATTTATATATTGTATATATATATATATTTATATTTATTTATTTATTTAACTAAAAATTAAATAAATGCCATTAATATATATGGTAAAACCGCAAATAACAACAACAACAAAACACAATATATTTATTATACACTATATTATATACCGTTATATATACACACAAACAAAAAATTAAAGTTAAATAAAATTTATTAATTAATTAATTAATTTTTTTTCTATAAAAAAATAGTCATTTTTTGGTCGCACATACAATAATCTGTCGGCACTGGGAGAGTGTAAAAACAATGGTCAGTGCGTTATCAACAAAAAGAACAGAACCTCCTGTAAGAGCTGTCGGCTCAAGAAGTGTCTGGTCGTCGGTATGTCTAAGAGTGGTATGTATTGTCTGATTAAATAAAAATATTTATATATATATTAGTAATAGTAGTAATATTGCCGRTAATATTACGTAATAATTATTATGATTATCCCGTTTTTAAGATTATAATATTTATTAATTATATAATGTAATAGATTGTACCATTAGATTATTGCCCACTCATTTGAACGCCTCCTCTCTCTCTCTYTCTCTCTCTCTTTCTTTCTCTCTCTTTCACTCACTCCCGATGAATACAATATTACAGTACAGTATATACTGTATATATAAGCCATATATGCCTCCAACATACCTGTTATTTCAAACAGTTTTTTATTATTATTTTATTGTTATTGTGTATATTTGAAAAAACATCGTTATTAATATTAGTATTATTATTATTATTATTATTATTATGGTTATCATTTATAATTAATATCATATTTATATACCATATAAAAAAATATTTTTTTGTTAATAAAAAAAGGCGCTATAATTGCAACAATATTTTAATTTATTATTATTATTTTTATTTTTCTATTTGCATATTTAATGCAATATCCAAATAATAAAAATCCCAAATTAATAATATGATATATCAGTATATAATATAATATATATATATACGATATATATAGAGATAGAGAGGCTTATTATGAAATAATATTTGAGCCAAAAATAAAAAATAACACAAAATTTTGTGCCATATTTTTATATGGATTGTAGAGAAAAAAAAGTTTTTTATTTTCTTCTATTTATTCTTCTTCTTCTTGTATTTTTCAAAGAAATTTCACAACTCATGTGATGTCTATTGAAGCGAATCTTTTAAAAATAAAAAATTAAAAAAAAATAAAAATTAAAGAAGTGTTTCCACAAATGGCACCCAATTTATGATATAATTTTATATATAAAAAATATATACAGTTTTTTTTAATTTGTCGACAAATTGACGATTTGAGTGATGAATTCAGACCACATTCCTCCAGACCGATAAAAGTCTCTCATTTTTTTTTTAAATTTTAGATTTGAAAATAAATATATAACAATCAAATCAATAATAATAATAAAAATCAATAATTTATTTCCCTATCATTATTATTATTATTATTATTATTATTGATGAACATATTTAAGAGGGCCATCAAACAAACTAAATGGCAAAATCTCTCTCTCTCTCTCTCTCTCTCTCTCTCTCTCTCTCTCTTTTATATATTTAAACTGTAATACCAATAGAGTACATATAAAGTTATTTTAGGATTAACCAGTGTATGAAATAATAATAATAATAATAAATGGTAACAATAATAATAATGATGATAATATTGAAAATTATTTTTTTAAGTGAATACAGGGCTAACATATATATTATAAAACCATTGCTTATATTACTGGTTCATATGGATGTGAACTAACTAAACTCTATGCTTTTTTTCAAAAAATAAGTTCATCGACTTATACATCAATACATATATAACACAAAATTTTTATATCCAAATACATAATACATAACAACAACAACAACAAAAAGTTTTTGATGAGACTTAAAAGTTTTAGTGTAACAAAAAAATAATAATAAWAAAATAAAATCAATTGATATTAGACTCGGTGTACGTCTTGTTAGTGGTTAGTGTCAGTCACGCCGTTCACAAAGTCAGGGGTTAATTGAACTAAACATTACTTTAAATAAGATTATACTTTATATATATATATATATATATATACTGTATATTGATTTTTTAAGGGGTATAAGTAAAATAATAATAATAATACTATAATATTTAAGAAATAATAATAATAATGAAAAGATTGTGTGAGTCTGTATATGAAGACTCAGATGGCAAGTGTCCGCCTCTTCATCTGTGATCTGATTAGCACTTTATTATGCGATTTGCACTTTTTGATTGCCTTTTTAAATATTATATACAATAATAATTGTTATGGTTTGCACTCAATTTGCGGCCTTTAAATAATCAATGAATTGTATGTACAGTATGTATGTATGTATGAATGGTCTCTAATAATTGATTTTTGATTTGTTGCCCAAACATTAATTGATTTTCACTTTACAATACAAAATATTAAATGCATTTTCCGGCTTTTATTTTATTAATTTAATTTCATATTATATTCTAAATAATTTAAATTTTTATTCATAATTTCATTTATTATAATATATTAAATAACTTCGAGTTTAGTGTCTATTATAAACATATATATATATATTCATACTATATATCTATATATTCATTATTTTTTTACGGTATATGTTCATTAGGTTCCCGTTACGGCCGGCGATCCAATTGGTTTAAAATACATTGTCTCATACAAGACCAACAAGAGATGACAAACCGACTACAAGAACAGGGAGTAATGGCCACCAATAGCCAGATCGCTCACGCGTTTGCCGAAAACAAAGATCTCTTATCGCAGTACAAGAGCAGCGACTCATTCAGGGAAACGAGTAGCGCCTCATCCGTCCATCACGGAGTGTCGCCGCGGGCCGCGTCACCCAACTCTAGCGACGGCTCGGTTGGCGGTCACCTATCATCGCCTTATCCGACAATATTCGACACCAAACCAAATGGCTATTCGTCGTCCCGATTCGGCACAACCAGTCCATCATCATATCTGGACGCTCGCAAAGAAGTCAACAACAATTTCCGATTGCACGGCTCGCACGGTCTGCCGCTGTCGCCGGTATCGCCGCTGTCGCCGTTGAGCGCCGCAGCCACTGCTCGCTTCCTATTTCACAATTCACACGCCGCGGCCGCCGGCGCACTGTTCGGTAAAGGTATGAACGGTTTGCACGCCTTTCACGACATGTCTAAACTGTATAATGGAAATCATCTGAACTTTGCCGCCTATCAATCGATGGGCCTACCGATCCATGCCATGCAACCGGTGCTCAGCAAAGCCAATATCAAAGAACAGACAGACATCAACCAGAATATCGGCGGCGGCGAGTGCTATGGCGGTGATGTACCCGAACAGGAGCGGCCAATTGATCTCTCGGTCAAAACTAATACTAATATCGGCAACTTATTGAGTGAGACGGCACTACTCAAAAACCTCAGCAAATCATCGAAACAATCGCTCGGCGATCACGACTCAGGATTTTCGCCGAGCAGTAATGAGGACAACCATCGCGTCAATACTTCACCGTTAGATTTGACGGCCAAACGATCGACACCCGACCCACCGATTAATAAACCAAATGATAGACAACAACATAAGCAGCACTTAGATAGTGATGTCGACGATGATGATGATAATGATGACGATGATGACGATGACGATGAACAGCACATGGAGTTTAATAGAGACAACAAATGACATTTAAAATTGTTTTTTTAAAAAAAATTAGATTTATATATATATTAAATAAATAAATAAATAAATAAATTTAAGACATATATTAATACAAACAGGTAGACAGACAGATAATGCACAGGTGTCACAACATACACACACACACTCAACGCCTGTCCATTATTGCCGCACCGATACAGCCTATTGTCGGCAATTATAGTCATGTGTTTGGGTAGGATCTTCCAGTGCTAATCATTTAGTCTCTCTTTTATCGATATCTCTCATATCAAGTGCTTTATACATATAGTTATATATAAATTAAATCAAAACAAAAACCTTATTATATATGTACTTCACCTGTGATTTAAAGTGTGCCTCTATTTTTTGTATAATAAAATTGGCAAATTTTTTAGGTAAAAAACATAATATATATATATATATAATACACAATAAGTCCATTTACAAGACAAGTTTATATATATATATAAAAATATACATAATCTATACATTCAATCATATTTTTTTTTGTATGAAAATAAATATATAATATATTTGATTGTGTGTGCTTATGGTTTAGGCCTTATTAAAATAAAACCAATTGACAGTATTATTATTATTATTATATTTTATTATTAGTAATATTATTATTATTATTATTATTATCACAATTATGATCAAGTTATATACAATTGCATACATGCCGTCCCATTTGCCATCCATATATATATTATACAGAGTACATGCATTATATTATAATATATTAATATAAAAAAATAATATTTGTTTGGTGTAACCAATATAACACATTTTTGTTAAACATCTAAAAAACAGTATTTATAACATAAATATATGTATAGTTTATTATATATATATATATATCCAGTAGATATATATGTATACTGTATTTATACATTTATAAACCAGGCATCAAACTTTTATATCATGCAATTTGTAAATTATTTTTTATTTTCAAAAAAATTGTTATTAGAGTTATCATAACATAATCAATTTTTTTTATAATTAAAAAATATAAATACATTCATTTTTCACAACAAAAAATTTATACATTTTTTATAATATAAGCAAATTGTCACTTATATACAGTATATACTATTAAAAACTTAACACATTATTAGTGTCACTATTTTTTATTATTATTATTATTATATATATATATTTTTTTTAAAACACATTATAAATATTGTTTATAAATTAGTTTCATTTAAAGAGAGTAGTTTTGTATTATTATTATTACTATTATTATTATTATTATTATATAATGATTATACTATTTTTTTATACTGAATAACAATTAAACAAATTTTTTTATTATTATGATTACGATTATTATTATTATTATTATTAAATCGTATTATTAATGAGTCTTATTTTTGGAGTTTGAGTTTTTAGATCATTTTTTTATTAATCCATTCAATTAAAGCAAATTTAAATATATAATAAAATTATATACAATTTTATTGTTTGTTTGAATTTTTTTTGACAGCATTTTGTAATTTGCATTATAAAGAACTACTAGTCCTTTGTAATTGATATGGAAATTGTTGTATTAAATCATTTGATTTTATTATTATTATTATTATTATTATTATTATTATTATTATTATTATTATTATTATGACTTAACAAAATTGCCAATCATTGGTATTGTGATAAAAAAAATAATTGAGTAATTTAGTTGATACTAATTAGATATAAAATAATTTTTAATTTCACAAATAAAATTGAATTGAATTTTTTTTTTATTTTAGTAGCACTAAAGCATTTAATATAACAAAATATATACACAAACTTGTATATAACAATTTGTATATAAGTTTTATTGGGTAAATATAATTGATATTAAGCCATTTAAAAATGATTTTTATTTATATCAATAAATTAATTAATTTTTTTTAACAAAGAAAAGTTAATTTCTTTATTATAATAAATACTTTTGTAATCAATTTAAATTAAGCAAAAATATATCAAATTTTTGTAAATTTAATATTTTTTCAAAAGACATTGTTTTTAAAAAAAATCAAAATATTTTTCTTTATATAAAAATTAGTTTAACCTAAATATTAGAAATTTATTATCTTATATGATATACAGTATATATTTATATAAATATAAAGTATATCGATAAAAAAATTATTTTTTATAATTTATATTTTATGTTATGTAATGTACAGTTTATTAATACAAATTTCATACATATTTTTATAAATATATATTACATTTTGAAATTTTCACCAATTTATGTCATATATATATAATATTAATTAAAAAAATAAAATTTAAAAACTAAAGGTTGCCTTGTTTTGCTTAGTTTATTTTATTATTATTATTATATTTAGTATATATATATTTTTTTTAAACTAACAATATTTATTTTATGTATAGATTTATAATTTCATTGTAAATTATTAAATAAATATTAAAAAAAAGCTGACATTAATAATCCAAAATAAATATAGGATTAAATAGTTGATTCATTTATCTAACATTATTATTATTATTATTTATATTACTATTATTATTGTACGTAATATTTTCAATGACTATCAACTTTTTATTTTATTTTACTTATAATCACATTATTTAAATAATATAAATCATTATATATATATATTTATTTAATACTCAAATTAAGTATATAAAACATTTTTGACGTATGAGTTTTGAATATTACAAATGATAACATATAAATAAATTAAAACTTATATTTTATTTGAATAATAATAAAAAAATATTATTATTTTTTTGATGATATTTTATTAAACACATTTCATTGTGTAACTACTACTACTACTACTAGTATTATAATAAAAATAATTTTCGGCAATATTTTTAGCGGCACTTCATTAATTCAAATCTTTATTTTATTTTCAAATTTTTGTTTAGTTCAATAAATTATGGTTTTTATTGTTTTCTCGTTAAAATATTTTCTATAAAAGTCTAAAACTAAAAAAAAATTATAGTTTAAATTATTAGTTGAAAAATCTTTTAAATTTTTTTTAAATTAAAATTAGTTGACAAGGATTTTGTAGTTTGAATTATAATAATAATAATAAAAAAAACAATCACTGATTTATTGATACTACAAAAATCTCTACCTAATAAATAAGCCATTAAATTGATTTAGTTAAAAGCAGTAAAGGTATTACTCAAAAAAATAATAATAATAATGAGCAGCACAGGTATTTAAAAGGAAAGGGGTGTTTAAAAACTAATTAATCAACAGAGTAACAGATAAAACATCAAAAAATCAATAAATTTTGTAATTCAAGTAATTGTCAAAAAAATCAATATTATTATTATTATATATATATTATCTTTAAATAAAATTCAATAGAAAATTTCTAATTTATTTATATTATATACTGTATAAATCAACAAAATTATTGATGAAAAAAAATTGTAAAATAATTATTTTATAGTTGTTATTATTATTAAAGTTAGAAAATGTTGAATAAAATAACCTTGATATATTTTTTTCAATAAAAATGACTTACAATTATATTTAAGGCAATAAATTAGTCGCTTAACAAAATCTTTTACCTATTTTATTATTATTATTATTATTATTATTTTCTTGTTTAATTGTATAATACATGTTTTAAATTTAATATACTATATTTTTTGTGCAAAAAAATATATTAATAATTTTTATATCTACTATATAATTGATTTTACCTCCAATTGGCCTCCAATTTAAAATTCATATAATAATAATCTTATTATTAATATAACTATTATATATAAATGTGATTTCATACACCTGTACTACTACTATATATTCCAGCTATCATTAAATAATCAAAATTTTTATTACGTTATTAGTTACTAAATATTATTATCTATATTTTTATTTTGTTTTATTTTTATTCAAAAAAAAACAATACATAATTTTGTATTAAATTTAAAAATAATAAATTGTGTGTAACATCATCTAGATATAATTTCTTAAATGTATTTACATAACTATCATGAAATATATTTATTTTTTTATATTTTTAAATTTATTATGCATTATGTATACAGTATATAATCAATCTATTATAAAAATCGTGTACAACTAATTGACCAATCACACTTTTGCAATTATGGTTAATATAATAATAATAATAAAATAATTATTATAATAAACTTTATATATATACTGTATATATGTATATATATATATATATATATAATTTATATTTTGTATATATATATATTTATACGCGTGTTGCTCATCACATTTGAATTTTTGTTAATAAAATTTTTATTTTGCTTTTTTCAAATAAACAAAAAAAATAACAGTTAATTATGCATAAACTAAAAATTATAGCTGTAAAATAATTGCACTAAACTAAATTTATAATAATTGTTTTAATTTTTCATCATCAACAACAACAGCAACAAAAATTTATTACTATAAATAAAATATATAGTCATAAAAATAAATGTATAAACAATATTTATTAACATTTTTTTTTGGATTCATCTTTCAATTCAATAAAATAAAATCACATAAAAATGTTTAATAAAATTATCATTTTTTATATATACAATATATTATTTTTAACAATTTTAACAATTTAGTTTACTAGTTGAACTTGATGAATTAATTTAGAAAAATAAATATTGATATAATTGGAAATCAAGTTTTAAAAAATAATATATTGTGACTACAAATAGTAGATATACTGTATATATACCGTATATAACACACATTTATTACATACATTTATATCATTTATAATAATATTATTATTAAATAAAAAGTGAGAGATTGTATAATATAATAAAAAAATAGTAATAATTTTTTTTGTTTGCAAAACTTCCTACAGATTTATCCTCTGATAATCGTTCAAAAAAATACTACTTTTTTGATGACTTCATACCCTTACATATATATATATAATATTTAAGTATTAACTATTGATACAATAATAATAATAATAATAATATTTTTTTATATCATTAAACTATTAATACAGTAAAAGTATGTACTGTATGTCTATGTGATTATTGTATAGTTATTGCCATTACCCTTGATCTTGGAGGTGGTTATCATAAATGTTTTTATTTAGGTGTGGATTTTTTTTATAAATATTTTTTTTGTGTTAGATTAATCATGATTTTTTTAGTTTATTAATAATTAATTAATCATTTTTTAATTAAAGTTATCATCATCATCATTATTATAAGCCTTTAATCAGTTTCAAAGTTGTTATTTATCACTTTTAATCATATATTACCATAAAATAGTTTTAAGTAAATTATATATATTTACAGTATTATACGTATGATATTAATATTGTATTGATAAATGCAATTAAATATACATTAAATTATTTTTTTTTGTTTTTGTTTTTATTATCAGTTCCAGTAAGATATAGCTAATAATCATTTGCAACAACTCTACTATTTAAAAATAAAATTATTTCCTTAAATAATAATTTAGTAAAAAAAAAATGAAATTATTTTTAAAATTCAAGCAAATTTATTTTAACATTATTAAAAAAAATTATTGTCTAAAATTTTATTAAAAATATAATATGTCAATACAGTATATTTATATGCTATGTGTATAATATAATTTAATTACATATAAATTGGACTTTTAGCCGCTTTAATTCTTAACTAAAATTAAGTTATAAAAACAACAATTGATATCCAGTGATATCAATAACAAATTATATATAAATCTTATGACAATCTGGTATTTAAAATATATATATATATATATATATATATATCATATGACATATATAATTTATAATAACTTTATAATACTATTTAAGTATAAAATACTAATTTTAAATTTTAAAGTTTAAAATAATAATTACTACAGTAAGTATAGTAAAACAAAAAATAGCTTAAATTGTTTAATAAATTGTATGATAATTTTTTCCTATACATATCAAAACAATTTTTTATGAACAATCTAAACTTGGTAATCCCTTTTTTTAAAAAAAATATATATAATTGTTATTTTTTATTTTAAAATTCAATTCATGAACATTACAGTAAACCGTATAGTATTGTAAATATAGTTTCTTATTCTCTATTATTTCTAATACTATTAATATTATGATTATTATTATTACTTTTTTTATAAAAAAAATCTATCCTAACGTGTAAATCAAATATTTTGATTTCAAGGTTCCCAACAATTTATTTTTAAAAACATACAAAACACAAAATAAAAAGTTACTGAGATATATAGTATAATATATATATATAAAATTTAATGCATTTATATTATAACATATTATTATTATTATCAGTATTAATGCTATTATAGACCTAAATCTCAAGTGTTTTATTAAATGAAATACTTTACTCAAAAAAATTATTATTATTATTACAGTATTGTCTGTAATATATTTTGTTTTTGTTTTTTTATTTTATAAAAAAAGTGTGAACTATATTGTTTGGTGAATCAAAGATAAAGAGAGAGAGAAAAAAATGAAAAGTCAATTATTTTTTAATAGTATTATATATTATATTTTACTATTAAAAAAAACTACTTAAAGCTATTAAATATTACAGTATTTTTTATTATTATTATTAAAGACAACATTTCAAGAATAGCTGCCAATACTTGACTTCGAGGTTAAGGGCGACTATGAGTTGTTGTAAGGAAAGGGATGGATATTTTAATAGTAATAATAATAATAATAATCGTTTTGTTATTATTATAAATTATCATTTAATAAATATATATTTATATAAATACTTTAATATAAGAGAGACTCGATTTATATTTTTTTTTTTTGAAAAACTTTATTGAATATGAATTATAAATGAAAATAAAAGCATTTTCTAAAAATTCAAAAGTGCTTTTGAAATAACTTTCAAATAATTTTTTTCATAAAGTGTTTTCATTCAAAACGAAAGTAACTTTTTAAAAAAATGATTGCATTTTAATTGCTTTATTGTTTTAAATTGTTTTTTATATTTTATATTTAAAACATATACCAGTAATATGTTATTATTTTATCATAAGCAATAATCTTTTACTTTTTTGATATATTTGATAAATACTTTCATATAAATATAAATATTATTAGTAATGTTAGATTAATTTAAACTATTTTATTATTATTATTATTATTATTATACAAGTATTATTATATACAGAATAATAGATATTTTAATATATGTGCAAAAAATATATTTAAAATGATTAAGCAATAAATAATATATAGTAATTTTAATGATGCTGGCATTAAATTAAAATATTTAAAATAGTTTCAAGTGCATTATTTAAATTAAATATTTACAGTAATTAACTTTTTTAAAGTAATACAATAATTAATAATACATTAATCTAATTAATCTAATTAATAATTACACAATTTTTGCATATAATTTAGTATAATTAACTCAAATTGGGTCTCATCAAGTTAAATTTAATTTTAATAATTTTAATACAACGATAAATGATAATAATAAATAAAAAAATTTAATAATTTCACTTACTTGAAACTATTAGTATAAATACAAATAGTTTTAAATAAAATATCGTATATTATAAAACTTTTTTTTAGTTAACATATTTTTATTTAAAAAACTTTATTACTAACAAAGCGTTGCCATCTATATGTTAACTTATTTACTAATATATATATATATAAATTATATAATATAATAAAATTGTTAATAAACTTACCCATATCCATTTAGATAGTTGCGCCATACTCGATGGTACTGGATCACTTTATTAAACAATTTATTAAATTTATTTAATAAAAATTATGTCTAATTCAATACTATTGTAATATACGCAATGAATAAAAAATATTGTAATTTTATTAATTAAATATATAAATGATTATCTGTAATAATGTATACAAATTGTTAAGTATAACATTACATTTGAGCTAAATATTAATTAATATTAATATTATTATACACTTTATTATACACTTTAATCTATACAAAATCAAAAATAAATAAAATAAAATATTATTAAAAATAATTAATAACTTATATTATAATATTTTTTATTAAAAAAAAGTTATATTATAAGTAAGTGAAGGTCGATAATTGACAACTATATCTTAGTATAGTCTATAATATAACTAATAACTAAATTTAATTGATTAACAATCATCAAAATCAAGTAGAAATTAATTCAATTGCAATCGATTAATACACATAAAAATTTTATCGATAAAAAATTATGAAATAAAATCAAACTAATTGTTAATAACTAAATTTGCTAGCTGAATAATTATCATAGTTTTTACTTATAAATTATTAAATAATTTATATTAATTAAATACATTATATTTATTTAACGCTAGAGGTGCTTGTTTATATTTTATTAAATACAGTGTATATACGGTACTGTCTAAATAAAAATATAATTATTTTTAGAAATCATATTATGTTATAAACTTTTTTTTTAAATAAATAAAACAATAATAATATTATTTAGCAATTATTTAGTCACTGTATGTTAGTTAGTCAGTATGTATGACATATTCAAATGTCGGACCACTGGTTAGTTTCAATTGGTTGACTTCGCCGACAAATGTGGCCACAAACGGACCAACCGATAACAAATATAACCATTCGAATAGAGCGGCCAATACGTGTTGCCAATAGCCGCCGTCGGCAGACGTCCACACGAGTCGATCGGACGATCGAAACTTGAGTCGAAACTCTTGAAACGACCAAAGAGTGAATCCACTGCTCGACACTATACTGACCACCGATACCAGTGTTATCGATAGCCGAAAGTAGGCCATCCATTGACTGTTGATTAGCGGCGATAACTGATAGGATATCCAGGTTTGAGTGCCAAAGAAAACCGGACCGACACTGAAAATGACGGCCGCACTGGCAAAGTGTATGCGCGAAGTCTCTATTACCCGAAACGAGGCCAACGATATCAGTCCCAGCGATAATACCGGTGCCATATATAGTGATAGACAGTTTACAAATAATATGCGCTGTTTGCCGGTCGCCGATATCGACAATAATCGACAATAGCTATCGGTATCGAGTATTGTCTTAACTTGTATGACACGTAACACAATTGTACAGAAAACTATAATTAATTAATAGTTAAATAATTATTATTTGATTGAATGTTTATTATGTTAAATAGTTTATAAAGTGATTAAATAAATAATTTTTTTAAAAATTGTTTAAAAACTTATTTATTACTTAAAATGGCTATAATAGTGACCAATTCGGTGAATATGGACGCCTCGGGTGCCCTAAATGCACAGTCGCTAACATAGGGCAGCAGTGGTTTAACAGTATTGTCATTGACGGCCAACAAATAACTATTATTTTTATTTAAAAAAATACTGTATTAAATATATGTTTTATACAAGTGGTATATCGTTAATGGTTCTAAGATATTATACGTACGTCAAAAAAATAGTTATGGGAATCAGTATTGTCACTGATAGTGGAAATAATATCAAAATATTCATTCAATCAATCAATAAATCATTCAATAAATTTTGTTTCAATCAGTTTCAATATTGTAATTCACTTTATTATAACTATATTATTATTATTTTTGAAACAACAATTTTATAGATCAGTAACTAAACAGACAAATCAGTTGAATTCAATGTATAGTTGAGTTAATTCAATTCAATTATTTCAATGCACGTGAAGCACACGTGAAACACGTATTGTTGACCAAATTTGTCGACACTGTATAATTAAATATTATTAAACAAATAAATAAATTATTAAACACTAGTTATTCTAACTTTTTAATTAACAAAAGTATTTGATTTGATTTTGTATAACAAACACAAACAAACAAAAAAAGTTTTGAAATTCACGTTAATTATCAAATATTATTATTTTTAAAATTCTTGCATTTTTATCATCAAAACCCCTCCTCAAAAAATGTATTCATTGATACAACTAATTGTAATTTCATTAATGATTTTATTCATTATGAGCGCAAACATTGGTTTGATTAAAGCCAATGACAAATGCTTTACAAACGAGTCGTACAATTCTGGTCAGATGGTGGTGTGTCCGCCAAACAACCCATTTTGTTGTTACGATTTGGTCGGTGTCTACTATTGTTGTCCGCAACGTCAGTTGTACTCCGTATTGACAACCGGTTCAATAGTGATGACCACAATGCTTGCGTTGGCCATAGCTATTGCCACGTTTTTGGCAACGTTTGTCAGATTTGAATCAATTGAATGGTTTTCCGAAGAATCGCGCGATATGTCACAGAACACACCCACCGACGGAGGCTTTTCGACAATGTTTGAAACGGATAGTCCAAAGAAAGATGAAAAACAGGTATCAATTGGTTATCAATCAATCAAATTTTTTTTTCGAGAAATAATAATAATAATCACAATTATCTTTCATATATTATTAGTCGCCAACAACAACAACAACGACAACACCTCCACAGATACTTCTTGGACCAGCAATATATAGTCCCAAATGGATGGCAACAAAGTTAGGTGAAGCAAAAAGACAGACAACAACAGCTGAAACTTTGACGGCTGCAGTCAAGTCCGAAAAAATTGTTGATTATAAGCCAAAATGGGGTAAATTTGATGACAATAACAACGACAACAAATCTAGTGATAATAAGACGAGGACATCGCTAGAAAAGATTGGATTTATTAAGAAAAATGAAAAATCAAGCGAAAAGACTGCCTTAGAAGTGAAGAAATTGATCGACGATTCCGACAACAACAACAACAAGAAGAAGGATAGTATTAGTAATATTAATAAAACTAATGACAATAACATCAACGACAACAACAACAACGATAGGAAGATCGTGAAGACTAAGTCGTCGACTAGTTTTCAGCAAAATGTCGAGTCGTTAAAGAAATCAATAGCTAAGAAATGATTGCTAATTGAAAAATAATTTGTTTATTATTATTATATATATATATATACTGTATATAACTATTGATTATATATTTTATTTTATTATTTTATCGCCAATTTATACTTTATGTTTTTCATTATTATTTTATTTTTATTTAATTTTTGAATATACCGATAATTATCGATAATTTTATTTTTTGTATCATATAATTATTTTTGAATACTAAAATTTTACCGGTCTATTATTATTATTGTATAGTAAAAAGTGTTGTAAAAGATAATTAAACTTATTATACCAGTATACATAATAAATGATACATATTTTTTTATGTATTTATTCAGATATATAATTTTTGTTATTTACTACTGTTTAGTATTTCAATATACAGTATATTAGTAATTTATACCGGTAATATTTTTAATTTTATTATTGTATTTTTTAAATATATATATATATTGTATATATTTTAATAATACAATAAAAACACCACTTTGTTAATGTATTTTATTTAAATTAATTATTTGCAACACAAAATAGCTTATAAATTATAAGTTAWAACATAATAATATAAAACAGTTAAGAGATTTTTAATTCATGCACTTATTTAATGTATTTTTGTAATTAATAGTTTGAATATACGATATATATTAATATTTATTTATTTTTCTGTTAATTGACAACTTTTATGTTATTATTATTTTGTTTTTGTTTTGTTTTTTGTTGTTTCAATGATAAGCGTTAACTATATTTTATTACTTTTCATAACTTCATCATTACTAATGGCATTAAAATGTGAAAGATTTTGGAATAAATTTCAAATCAATAGAAATAYTATTACTAATGATACTAAAGATAATATAGTAACTATAACTATAAATTACAATATTTGTATTTATAAAATATATAATAAATAAATAAAAAACTAATTAATATCTAATTATTTTTAGAAAGATTTAATTTGTTTTTTGGAAACACCGAACGCTATCGTCAAAACTAATGACAATAAATTTTATCTATTTTTTCAYCAATACTTTTGGCAATTGATTGTCGATAACCGGACCAATAGTTTCCGAGTTATGGATGAAAATGCCCAACTGATCCGCGACCGATGGCCACCGTTGCCCAACGATATCGATATAGCCTTTACAGTGGAACAGTCGACTGTCCAGGGAAATCCGTTAGCAGGACATACCGTTTTCGTTAAGAACCAGACATACTATGAGTTTGATAATCGCCAATTCATTAGTTCCGGTGATATTAGTTTCTGGGAAATGGGAAGACCAGCCGATCAATGGAAATATGTTATAACATTTCGTGACACTAATCTAGTATTGATCAACGTTTGGGATCCATTTCGTAAAGATAATAAAGGCCATACACTGTATTTTGATCATAATAGATTTCCCGGTTAGGAAACTGTAGCTATATCTGTATAATTATTTTTTAAATATAGTTTAGTTTACACTTAATAGGAATATTTTTTTTAAAAAAACTTTTGAATTTTCAGAAACTTTGAGCCATTTTGACGCTAATATCGACTCAAGGGTTCCGTGGCATCACTTAAGACAGTTGTTCCCAATGCCCGGCAGTGATGATAAATATGTGGCACTGCTTAGGACTCATGGACAGGGATTTTACTGTATTATGAATGATTTGTTTGATAATGTATTAGACAATAGTTTTTTTAATTTTAATTATTTTTATCAATTAATTTATTATAATAATAATTAAATATTTTTTTCGTTTAGTGCAACTATCGGCCAATACATGAAGTGTTCAATTGTTCGGCTCAGGTATTGCTGACCAAACAAAACAATTGGATTTATTGGGTTTGGCTTAAAACCAGGTTAAACATGAATGAACTACTAATGGTTATGAGCGGTGCTATTTTGGCCACTGTTCTCGTTATTGTTTTGATAGCTATTGTCTCAACTATCAGATTCATTCAATTGTCATAATTTTTGTTCATTAAATTAAATACAATTAAAGTTTTAAATATTTATATTTTATAAATTTGTTTCATTTACACACACACACACACACACAAATTGTAATGATATTTTGCATGTTAACTATATTATTAATTAATCAATATACTATATAAAAAAATATTATATTAATATTTTAATAAATCGTTTACTTTATAAATATTTGATTTAATTATTTATTTTTTTAACTGTGTGTTAAATTATTTTTAAAAATTAATTATCATAAAAATTATTTTAAACTTAATGAAAAACAACTAAATATACTTATCAAGATAATTAATTAATATGTAATAATTTATAAAATAAAAATATTTTTTTATATCCAATTGATTTTTTCATTTGTAAATTATTAATTGTCATAATTGTTTTAATAATTTAAATTAAAAGTTATTGTAAGTTAATTACAATAAGTACACTAACATTACCTAACATTAATTGGGAAAATATTTTTTAAGAAAAAATCATTATTTTTGTGTCTACTTATAATAATAATAAAATATTATGAATATTATAATTACTGAAACAATTTGATTGTAATTTCCATTAATTAATACTAATAATAATAATAATTTAAAAGTAATTGACTCAAAGTAAGGTATTGTTATTTATCAATAAAATAAATAAATAAATAAAATTACCTAGAACACAATTCCATAAAGGACATTTCAATAAATAAGAAAAAACTAAATTTATTAATAAAAAATTTATTATTTTTTAATCCAACTTTATATAAAGATATACTAAATACAGTACATATAAATAATTTTAAAATGCTTAATATAGCTGTTTATTATATCCTTATATGTCATAAATTAGGTATTTTTTAAAAATAAAATACAGTAATTTATTTTTGCATTAAAAATTTAAAGTAAAAGTTATGGGCAAATAAAACAATTAAAAAAAACGAAAATATGACCAATAAATAAATAAAATATAATTTAGAGGTATTTCCTCATTGTGTTTGGGAAATAAAAAGCTTAAAATTATTTTTTTCGTTACTTTAATAAAGTAATTGAAGGAATGGGCGTTAACTACAACCGCATGTCTTTAGCTAAAACATTTGAAGAGATGGCACTCTTAATGCTCTCTCTCTCTCTCTCTCTCTCTCTCTCTCTCTCTCTCTCTCTCTCTCTCTCTCTCTCTCTCTCTCTCTCAACACACATAAAGCCATTGACATTCACATTGGGATTCAATCACTGCATTGAATTTATAATAACACAGAGAGTCCAATACATTAGCCTTAAAGTACATGTAAAGTAAAAATTTTCAACATACAGTCGACACCCAATTATTATTACAATTATTATTTACATCATTATTATTATAGTATTAGAATCATATTATATCATATAAAAATCGATTAATTACTAAATTAATTTAATTTTTATAAATTGTCTAAATTAAGTATATTTTTTTTATAATTAATTTATCGATAGCACCTGTATGTAAGTTCATGGTGTATATGTGTGACTATTGTTTGTGTGTTGAGACAAAAAACCTGAATTAGTATTTAATATAATATTATAGTATATTTTGGTGCTATCAGTGAATACCCGAACTGTTATAATAATAATATAATAATAGTTTGTTTCACTGCTATATTCACATTGAAAACCCATTTTGTGTTTGATTTATACATCCATTCATTCATTCATTCATTCAATTGAATTGAATGYAAACCAAAMGCAAACACACGACTAATAGATAGACTCATGAGTTGTTGTTATTATTATTATTATTGTTGAGTGAATCCAATGATCAGCTAATAATCAATTTTGTTATTTGTGTTGACACACACCGTGTGTCCAATCAATGAATCAATCGCCACAACAGTTGTGATCGATTCCCGACAAGACATCCAAAGACATGCAGACAACGGCAACAAAGATAACAACAACAACAACATCGGCAGCAAAAGTCCGTCCCATTTGATCCATCCATCCATTGGTCTTCAAATATCATATACCGTCTCACTACTGCAGTCCATCCATATCATCATCACTTCATATATATCAGTACTCCGAAGAAGATGTTGCGGTCATCACATTTGGTAATTGTCGTCATCGGAGTCATACTATTGCAAAGTTGCTTTCAATCGGTTGTTGGCCAAGTGATGTCCGTATCGGTATCCGAAACGGCCAACGATCTGATGAATGGCCAACTGTTGCATCACGGAAAGTGCGAAAAGATAACGATTCCCATTTGCATCGGTAATATCAAATACAACGAAACAATATTCCCGAATATACTGAACCAATTGAAACAAGAAGACGCCGGACTCGACGTCCATCTCTATATGCCTCTCATCAAAGTCCAGTGTAGTCCCGATTTGTTGACATTTTTGTGCTCAATCTATGCACCCGTTTGTACGATACTGGAAAAGCCGTTACCTCCGTGCCGGTCGCTATGTTTGTCGGCCAAAATCGGTTGCGAAACACTAATGAATAAGTTTGGCTACAAATGGCCCGAATATTTTGATTGCGACAAATTTCCGACACTCGAAGACCGAAAAAAAGGCATTCTATGCTTCGGTCAGGACAGTGACCAAAAACCCGACCAACCAGCCTATACGGGTACTGGTGGCGGTGGTGGTAGTGTTAGTGGTGCCGGTGTGGCACCGTTTTTCAACAATGTCATCACCAAATCGTGGCCAAAATCGTTYGCTAACACCACTACTACCATCAGCCGAGATCTTGGTTTTGTTTGTCCCATCAATTTTCAGACACCCGCCGGAATGGATTACGTATTTCGTGTTCAGGGCAAAGAGCACAAAAACTGTGGAGCACCGTGCGATGGCCTACTGTTCAACAGTGACCAGCGCCGGCTAATCAGGGTATGGACCGGTATCCTAGCACTGGTCTGTGTTTTTTCCACACTATCAGCCGTCCTAACCTATCTGATYGATACGTCACGCTTCCAATACCCGGAACGTCCGATCATCTACTTGAGYCTTTGCTACTTTTTTGTCGGTCTCGTCTATGTAATCGGCTGGGCACTGGGCGACACTGTCGCCTGTAACCAACCGTTTCCGGCACCCGACGGTCAAGTCAACGTCCAAATGGTACGGACCATAACTCAGGGAAACAAACGAGAGTACTGTACTCTTTTGTTCTTAATTTTATACTACTTTACAATGGCATCGGCTGTCTGGTGGGTCATACTTACCATTACATGGTTTCTGAGTGCCGGACTCAAGTGGAGCCACGAAGCCATCGAAAGCCAACAACATTACTTTCATTTTACTGCGTGGACAATACCGGCCCTGAAAGCAATAGCCGTACTGGCCATGCATAAAGTCGAAGGTGACGTACTCACTGGTGTCTGTTTTGTCAGTCTCTGGACACAATCATATTTGGCCATTTTCGTACTCATACCCCTACTCATCTATCTGGCCATTGGTGTACTGTTCCTGACCACCGGGTTTATATCGCTCTGGCGTATTCGTACGCTAATGAAAATGGACGGTACATTCCAGACGGATAAACTGGAAAAACTAATGTTCCGTAACGGCCTGTTTTCCATACTCTATCTGTGTCCGGCTATACTATTGTTGGCCACCTATTACTATGAACACAAAAATATCGATTCGTTTCTGTTGTCGTGGCTAACAGAAGTCTGTCATCGGCCAGAGTTTGGTATTCCCTGTCCGGTACCAAAACCAGACCAAAAACCAATGAAACCCTATCTGTTTGTATTCATAATCAAGTATATGACATGTCTGATGCCAGGCATTACAATGAGCTTCTGGATCTGGTCGGAGAAGACAATGAAATCGTGGGCAAAATTGTTCAAAAAGATATTCTGTCTCAACACCCGAACAGAGGCTTATATATAGTACATAACATACCAAACAAATCATAGAGAGAGAGAGAGAGTAATGCCTTTTTAAAAATAAGTTTTTTTTTTGTTATTATTATAACGCTTTTTAATAATTATTTAAATGAATGATTGTATATATATTTATACAGTATATATATATATATTTATTTACTGTTGAGCTTTTTTAACTGTTATTTCTTATATTTATATATATAGATAGATAGATAATGTTATTTAGCAATAACGCCATCAATCTCTTTATTGCCATATTTTTTTATTATTATTATTAGTAACTTTTGTATTTATTTTATTTTTTTTTTATAATTATCATAACTCTAACACACCATTGGACTTAATATTACTATTATTATTAATAATAAGTGTAATGCATTTTCCAATGCTCTTTGTGTTGTCTGATTAAAAAAAAGTCATACAACCAACAGAAAAAACAGCTTTAGTTAAGTTAAGTCCAGTCCTCCTATCGCACTGTTAGCTTAGCATTTTGGGACTTCCACATAGAGAGAGAGAGAGAGAGAGGTGGCAATCAGTTCATTGACATTACACCATAGGATGAAAGATATATAGATTTATATTATATATAATATTTTTAAGTATATATATATATCTATCTATCGATATATCATTGCATTATTTCATAGCAATGGGAGATCTTTTTTTTTTAAAAAAAAAGTTTATTTAAGGGACAAAATGTTTTAGTGAATTATTGTGTGTGTGTTTAGAGCTAAAGTATATATGAATACTATATATTTAAATATACATACAGTGTATATCTTAACTAATGTTGATTTTGTTGGATACAAAAACTAAGAGATAGAGAGAGAGATTGTGAACTCATTTTCATAAAAAGCAATATTTTATTCAAATATTCACCCAAACAAAAAAATGCATACTATTTATTATTTTCATTATTAATATTATTAGTTTTTTTTGTTGAACTAATTTTTCGCAAAAAAATCACACATATTTTGTGTCTATGTTTTTGGTGTTTAGTTAAAAAAAGATTAAGAATTTATAAATTCGCCCAAAAAAATGTGTTGAGAATTATAATATATATATATATTATATTAATATATATTTTATTATTTATAATTTGCTCCAAAAAACGCTTATTAGCGTATTTTTTATTTTAAAAAAACTAACTTAACTATACATATATTTTTAACTATATTTTTTATTATTTATTAATTAGTATATTACTTAAAAAAATTTATTTTTTAATTATGTGCAGTAATTATAATCATGTTTTAACGAATTTGTTAGTGAATAGAGAGAGAGAGAGAGAGAGAGAGAGAGAGAGAGGAAAAAACAGTTCAAAACTTTTTGAATAAATGGTAACTTTTTTTATTTTTATTTTTTAGACAATATACTATATATATTATATATATAAATCATCTGTCTAAATTTATTATTTTTTAATTTTAAAATACATTATAATTCATTTATGTAATTCATTTATAACGATTTATTTATGTAAATAATTTTTTTATGTTGTATTGAATTTATGGATATTTATTATATATATATATATTTATATATGAGATTTGTATATTATATTTCATAAGCGCAACGCAAACCTAATCGCAACAAAACTGCCTTAAAGTAAACTATATATATATATATATATATATAAAACATTATTTTAAACTGTATATACTATGCATTAATGATAATAAAATTTAAATAAATTGAATTAATATTTTTTAAAAAAAATTAAATTGATCGTGCTAATTTTTTTTATTATAAAAAAGTATGTATCTCTTATTTTTATTAAATACATTGTTTATTGTGTTTGAAAAATATTATGTATTGTCTTAAATGCATATTTTATATATATTTATTGTATATAATTGTAAATTACAATTTGTAATATAAAATAGTGGGCTAAAACTAATTATGATTATCAGTGAAAATCAATAAGTTAAACTTTTTAAATAATTAAATAAGCTATTGTCAATCTATCCTTAAATTTATTTATTTACTGATGTATAGTACAGTATATAAAGTATTTTATAATAATAAATAAAAATTAATAGGATTTTTATGTACTAAACTAAATTATTTATACAGTATATACCGGTAAATGTCTAATTTAGTTATCTATATTATCAACAACAAAATAATCATTTAGAAAATACAAGAGTATTTTATTATATATATATAAAACATATAAATATATAGTTAAATATTAATAAAAAAAATTAATAATTTATAAAGCTTTCAGTTAGTTTGAGATTTCATGAATTTTTTTTTTAGATACTTTAAAACATTTATGGAAAATATTGTGATTTAAAAAAAAATTTATATATATTTATTTATATCAAATAAATAGTTCACAAACTTATATGGATGTATATACGATACTAATACATAAAAAATAGTAATAGTCTTATATAATGATTTATTAATGTATTTTTTCAATGTGTGTGTGTGTGTGTGTGTGTGTGTGTACCCTATAACCTGTAGTTATTATTTTATTTTATTTTATTATTTAGAAATTAATCTTATAATTGAGGATTAAACTTTTTAAATATTTGTGTCAATGTTTTTTTTATATAAAAAATTTATTTACTAACACAATGCTACTAATATTTGGCCATAAAAGTTGAAAATGTTATAATAATATTCATAATTTTTACTTAAAAAAAAGTTATTTTGTTTGTATGATAATTATTTATCATAGCTTGTAGTCTATTAAAAAATTTTCATATTTTTATTATTTTCATATTTTTTGTTTTGGAAAAAAAGTTATAATGACATAAATATGATTAAATATTTCCAATGGGTATGATTTAATTAATAAAATTATTATTATTTTTTTTTTAAAAAAGGTAATTTAAAAGTTTTATTAATTAAAAAAATTGATTTATTCCTAATTTATTACACACACACACACACACACACAAACGTATTTTTAATACTTTATTAATGATTATAAAATATGATAATAATTAACTAATAATAATAATAATTATCATATCGATGTCACATAATTAAGTTTTTAAAAAAAAAATAATAATAAATTTAAAAAATATATATAAAAATCACTTATTATTTAACTGGCATTTGTTGTGTTAGTTCAGTGTTTGGTTCACTCATGTTTGGCAACTCTGCAAATACCATACAATAGTCGCCAATCTTCTGGATTTTACCGACTTTTCCCGTATAGAGAGTCAGACAACCTTTCCATAGACTAACATATCTGTATTGAAATTTAATAATAATTTAATTACCGATTAATTACTACTATCTCATCACCATTGGATCAAATATATAGCACACACACACACTAACTAACTAACACACCCGACACTAATTGTTGGCCAAACAAAACCTACCCTTTAGTGATACGGCATATGTCTCCCGGTTGAAGATAGACTCCCGGTTCGTCCCAAACGCATACGTTGATTGAACCGGTCCGGTCGGCCAACTTCACCGTACGTATCTCGTGATCATCTTTGGTTGTATTGGGTCGACCTGTCGTCGTCGTAGTCGTCGTCGTCGGGAGACAGATAACGGCGGAGAGAGAGAGAGAGAGAGAGAGAGCAGCGGACACATAGATATCGCAATCGAGAAAACAAGAGAGAAAATACTTTGGATTAGTCACTAAATTATTGGTCATATGATTGTTACCGACGGCGGCCATCACACACACACTAACCGATGTCCAAAACGATGGCAATTATGGTCAGATTTTTCGATCCGATCTTCAAATCTCTGATTGGTGTCACTCTGTCCGACTGATCCATCAATTGTGAAGATTTTTTATGATTTTGATTGAAGGGTTTGTTGTTGTTGTGACCACTTTTGTTGACCACCGATCGGCGGCCGCTAACGATATGACCTCAAAAAAAATCGCTGACAAACAAACAAATTAACCGCAAAATTGTATTATTTTTTATTAAAAAAAATTGTATTTTAATATAAATATTAAATTTTTTGTTTCAAAAAAAACTTCAAAACATTTATAAATTTAATGTTTTTGTGTTAAATATTTTGTGTTCACAAATAACGTGTAATAAATAGTTTATATTATAATTAAAATTAAATAATAGGAATATTCGTTGAAAAATTGATTATTTATTTATTGGTATATATTATATTTTTTTATTATATAATTATTTAATTAGTATTTTTATTTATTTATTTATTTTCCTAATTTATTAATTGTAATTTTGATTATATAATAGTTTTGTTTTTTGTTGTTATTTTATAAATGTAATTAATTTTGTCGATCTAATTGTATTTTATATATTTATAGTTTTTTTTGCTCTCTTTCTCTCTCTTTTAGCTACAAATAAAAATAAAATTGACATAAAATTTAGTGTTATTTATATAATAATTACATTGAAATGTTATCCAACTTAACCTTTAAACTTTATAGCAGTTATAAATTTAATGTCTTTTATTTAATTTAATGCTAAGTATTAAAAATGTTTGTGTTTTTATTATTACATTTGTAGACTAAAATTTTTTGTTTATTAATTTTATTATTTAGACTAATTTTAGAGTTAATAATACAATAATATTGTTTGCTATGTTAGCCAAAAAAAAGTTTATTTATTTTTTATTATACATTTAACAATACTTTTTTATTATGATAAATAACATCCAGTTTTTAAAATTGCTTAAAATTTAATAAACTTGTTTACAATAGGATTACAAATATATAGAGAGTATAAATATTAAACTTTTAACAAAAATGTTTTTTTTAATATTTAGATTAAACCAAAATTTTTTGACACAATGATATATTACAGTAAATAAAATAATAATAATAAATTTGCAACTTAAAGTTTTTTTTCGGTGCTAATAATTTAATTTTTATTTAAATAAAATCAAGTGTCTCGTTTATGTAATTTATAAATCCTATATATTATAATTAAGTGCAATAATTGACATACAAAAGTGTCATACACGCACACACACACATACAYACACACACAYACACACACACACACACACACACACACACATACACACACACACATACACACACACACACACACACACATACACACACACACACACACACACACACACACACACACACATTAGAGATAAAGTGAGATTAACTTTAATTAAGTGCATTGCTTTTTTAAATTACATAACAATTTTTTGTTAGTTGATGATGAGTATCGGATTTATATAAAACAGTTTAGTTTTTAAAATGATTTAATGGGATTTTGAATTGAATAATTAATTAATTAAAGTTATTTAATCTGATTATTTGTCTATTTTCCTGTCAAAACCAGTTTTTCAACTCAACAAAAATGATAAAATTAAATATTTTATAAAGAATTTGATTTTATAAGTTTAAAATATTTAGTAATATATTATATGATATTTATTTTTCAATATTGGATGCGCTGTACGCACACACGTTTGACATCAAAATGTTTATAAAATATTATTGAATTGCTATTTTAGTCACACACACACACACACACACACACACACACACACACACACACACACACACACACACACACACACACACACACACACGTCTTTGACAGTGCGATCGATAGGAAAGGGAGCGGCCGTTTGGCAGCCAATCCTATCGCCAGAACCATTGGATCCGCACATTTAGGTATATCCATCCATCCATCTCCCATTCCCCCAACCCGTACAGCGCATACATCACTTTAATGAACAGTACTTGTAATTAATGATGATTAAGAAAAATCATTTGTTTACTACTACTACTATATAAAACTATTTAGTATTAATCAATAGTAGAGAAAGTTATATATTCTTTAGTAGATTTTTCACCTTTAAATTTGATTGGGAAAAAAATGGGGATCCAGTGATCAGTGATAATACAGTTGTTGTCAATATACTAGTTGTTGTTGTTGTAGTAGAAAATAATGCCATAAAACCCAGAGTTGTCTGTAGTTAGCAATATATTAATATATGGTTGGCTTTGAGCCAAAAAAAACTACTGCAAAATTTTTTTCTGTCTTTTTACGCGCATTGGTATCGACCGGTTGGTTGGTTGGCTGGTGTGTCTGTCTATCTGTATTGTCGCTGTTGTTGTTGTGGTGTCGGTATTGTTGACGCCAACAGTGTTGTACTTATTATGCAAATTCTGTTGTTTACATCATTTCTCTGTTCAATTCATTTCTTCTCCTATTTTCAGTGAATCCAGACATATATAAGAGTTGGCATTGATTTTAACAAATAATTTGATTTGATTTTTTGTTAAATAAAATTATTATTTATTTGTGAACACATTTTTTAAATAATAATAATAAATTCTTTATATATATATATATATACAGTAAACTCAATATTGTATAACAAGAATCTCTGTTTTATTGTATTAATAGTATTATTCTCAACAATACTAATACAGTATTATTATCTAATATATTATCCAAAAAATATATATATATCATCACTAATACGATTATTTGTATTTAACATCAGATAAACTGATAATTAAAAACTATTTAATGGCAATTGAGTTACAAAAACAATCAAACATTGGTATGAATTATTATTTCTTTTTGTTGTAATCTAATTAATAAAAATAATAATAATTATTACTATTATTATTATTCTGTTATTTGTTGATTCATCTTTTTTTATATAAATAAAAAATCTAATATATTGTATATAATTATTGTATTATTAATATTCATTAATAATTATTATTTTGTAGCCAAAGTTAATGTCTTAAATGAATTATTGCCGCAAAAGTACGAATCGGGAGGCAATGGCTTATGTCTGGAGACCAGCTGGAGGTGTGTCTTCTCACACGACAATCAACTGTTTGCTTATTCATCCGGTGATAGTATTGTCCATCTCATTGATTATACAAAATTAATATCAAGGTATTTAATTAATCAATAAATTTTTTTTATTAAATATACAGTATATATGTATATATTATATTAAATGTTTCAAAAATTAAGATATTGTTTTGATTGAATGCAAATATTGATTAATTTTAGTTTTATTATTGATTAATTAATTTGTGGAAAATATATTAATTTATGTTTTTATTAATATATTATTTATTATTTATTGTTATGTTGAAACTACTATTTTGTATTGAGTTGAATCAGCATTTTTTTAAATTAAATAATTATTTTTCTAATGATTAATTAATAATATTAATATATCTATTTTTTTTAAAAAAAACAATTTATTAAAACAAAAATAATAATTGACGTAAATAAATTATTATGTAATAAAACATTAATTAAATAATACAGTATATTTCATAATTTAAAATATTAAAAATTTTGTATTATGCTAATCAAACAAACAAACAAAAAAAAGTAAAAATATATATTAACAAATATTGTTAGATTATTTTTAGATTTTTAGATTCAATTGAAAACATTTGTGTACATAATAAAAAATATTAAAATAGATATCAAACATATTATAGACAAACTTTATAAAAAATAAGCCAAACTCTATAGAATATTCAGTAATAATATACTGTATAACACTTTATTTTATATTTTTTGTTGCAATAAAATATAATATTTCACTGGATTTAAGTTTCAGTTTTTAAATTTCATACAATTTGTGTTAATGACTAAATAGCAAAATATCTACTAAATAACAGTAAATATATAATATATTTTACTATTAGTCATTAATATATATATATATATAAAAATAATGTTTTAGACTAAATTTATGTTAAACACAAAAAACAATAAAAAGAGTTAAAAAATTTAAATATTTATATTGTAATGTCACATGTATGCAATTTTTATGCAATCATTAATAAATTATCATTTTATTTGGCAATATTGTATAACAGTATAATAATAATAATAGAGCTATAAATAAATAAATAGCCTTCAAATTAAGTGTTAATAATATATTTATAAATGTCGCCGTCAATTATTAAACATATATTATAAATTATATATTACTGACACTCCTACTATTAATTAAACATTTTAATAAATAATATGCTATTAATAATGCTATTATTTATTCAATAAATGTTTTTTTTTGTTTCAGCTATCATTTAAATAGTTAATTCAATTAATGATCGCAGCATAGCATAGCTTAGCTATAAAAAAAACTATTAACACTAATACTAATTTATATATATATATATATATTTTTTAAAAAAAAGGCTATAATTATTGGTAATTAATATATTTGCTTTAAGTTATATTACATAATATTTATCATATGTAATACTAATTATTATGTTATACCAACAAATTATTAGTAGAATATTAATTATAAATTAAATATCTTATTATTAATAATGACAATATTATTTAATAATGAMWATATTATTTAATAATGAMTAATATTATTTAATAATGAATATATTATTTAATAATGAATATATTATTTAATAATGAATATATTATTTAATAATGAATATATTATTTAATAATGAATATATTATTTAATAATAAATATATTATCTAATAATAAATAATATTCTGTTAAATTAAATTATTAGATACGATCGTAATAGGGATGAATCGGCTAATAATTATAACAACAACAACAATGATTTAAATATTAATAATAATATTAATAATAATTTTAATAAATCAATTGAATGCAATCATTTGGTGAGATCAGTCAGTTTTGCACTAATGGCTAATTTGCACAAATCTACAGCTTTCTGGCACCGGTCGGCACAATTCAAACAGTATTTCCTAATTACTGGCCACTCGTCGGGCAGAGTCCGCATTTGGGACATCGATTCAGGTACTGATGAAAACTTTTTACTTAAAAAAAAATTTCGTAAGTTTTTTATATATATAAATATAAATGTATTATACAAAAGAAATTTGTTGTTTTATTAATTACTTGTTGTTTTAAACCGAAGAAAATTGTTGTTAAAAATTGTGTGAAATTGAGAGTGAAATTTCCAAAAATAAAAATAGGAAAATACTATCACTTCTGGTAAACCGACACTTAATTTTCATTTTATTATTATTATATAAATTTTTATAAAAAAAAAATTTAAATGCAATTGAAAACAAAAATAAAAGAAAAGTTTATTAATTGTATTTTTTTCTTTACAACAAATTATAGGAAAACTATTGCTTGAATTACTCGATCATAAGGCCTGTGTTACACACGTTGAGTGCAATGACACCGGTATATTGGCCTCGACATCGACTGATGGTACGATCAAACTATGGGATCTAATAGATGGTGGCAATCTGTTGAAGACAATCAAAAACGATGGAAAACCATTGTTCGGGTGCCGGTGGGCGCCGGACTCCAAATCGTTTGTCACGTTTGGTATGAGAAAAACAGTAAGTTTTCAGTACATATAATAAAACCAAAAAAAAAATTTTTTTGTTTCAAATTCTAACAATTCATGTAAAATACCTGTCCATATAATTATTATTATTATTTTTGTGGAAAACAGGTGTTTGTCTATGAGGCACACGACTACACTGTTAAACATAAACTGGTCGCTCATCAGCACACAGTCAGTTCGGCTGATTATTCGCCGGACAGTCGGCTTATTGTGACGGCCTCTTGGGATACGACTGCCATTATATGGAATGCCAACAGTGGAGAGATTCTGACAAAATTATAGTAAATTTTCTTTTTTAAATATTACATGAGCTCTAGTAATAATCTATACATTATTTTTTTGTTATTGATTTGCATAGCCATTTGAAACCCCGTCCGACACTTATGTGGGCGGGTGGAGAAAATGGACATCACATAAGTAAGTCCCTATACTACCTCTAGTTTTTTAGGACAGCCATATAACTTATTGTTGTTTCCAATGTATAATCTAATAACTCATAGGAAGTGTATCGTTTAGTCCGGACGGTGCACACATTGCCACTGTTGCCGATGATGGGTAACTCACTACCAACTCTTTTTTTGTTTATATTCAACTGATCTCATAATTTATTTAATTAATAAATCAAATATAGATTTGTGAGAATATGGGACATATGTAACGATGACAGTCCCGAAGCTATCTGTCCGGTTACACATGGGTTGTGCTGTACTTATTCAAAGTCGGGACAAGTACTGGCAGTCGGGTCAGTAGTATTATTTTTGTTGTTATACAGTAGTATATGTTATATACATATTACCGTAACATACAGGAGTAAAATTAATACCAATTTGTTTTTGTTAACCACATAATATYTACTGTATTTAGTACTCGATCGGGAAGTGTTACGGTATTGGAGTCTCACTCCTGTGTCAAATCGTTGCTATTCCTCTGTCGACTGGCCATCGGTAAGCATATGCGGTGGTCATCGGATACAATCGACGCCAATGATAATACTTTAGCCATTCCGCACGGTTTAGTCAATTATCTTAACTATCAAGAGTTGACATAAAATAAACCCCACACTGTTTCGACTATAAATTATTTTGTGCCAATTTATTATTAATAACAACAACAATAACAACAAAAAATCAATACTTTTTTTCATCATAGCAATCATTAAATTCATTTATTATTTAAATTAAAACTCAATTTACTAAAAAAATGATAAATTAAAAAAAATAATTATTATAATAATAAATTTTATGACGAAATAATTTTTTTAATTAACGAGTTTTGTCCCAATTTTTTGCGCTTTTGTTTTGATAGTGCTTTCAATTTGGTCTTTGCGTTATCCAAATCGTTGTTTGATATCTTTATTCAAAAAAAAATAAGTAATAATAATTAAATTCACACAAAAAATTGAATCAATTTTTAAAATATTAAATTAAATACCATTTGTTTGACATCTCTATCTTTCAATAGTTTGTCAGACAATACATATAATGTTAACAATACTTTCACGTATTGTGTCCGCAGTTTTTCTGTACTCAATTCGCTGGTCACCACTTTAATACACCGCTCTCTCAGATCCGACAGATTAGTATCTGTTAGTGAAATGGGTTTCTCTTTGTGTGTCTGTGTCTGACATAATAGTGTCAACATATCAATTGAAATCGCCTTTTTATACGAAGGAATCTCATTGTTGAAACCGTACTCTAGAAGTGTGTCATAAAATTTGACAGCAATTTCCTAATCAAAAAAAAATAATCAAATAAAATAATCAATAAAATCGATAAAAATTTTCATTTTTCTTCAATAAACTCACGGGATTTCTTGAAACAAAATTTTTAAACATATTTGGATTGATTTGACAATTGCTAGAAAATATATAAATTCAATAAAAAAAAAATCATTTTAAAAATGTTATTTTAAAGGTGGCAATAATTTATTTATTATTTAACAACCTTTTAGTAAAATATGTATTGAATGTATTTTTTATGACATCCAAATACCAACTATCATCAGCGGGAAATAGACGTTTGCATAGTTGTATCTATAAAAACAAAAAGTTTTACATAAATCACATATTTAAATAATCAGTAAAAAAAAGTTATATAAAAAAAATTTCAATAAAAATAAATAAATAAAAAACTAAAATTCACTTACAATCCAAATCCATAGAGAGCTAAATGGTTTTTGTAGCTCTAAATGTGTTGTTTTCGATAGTATTGGTGTCAAAAATTCAAACAATTTTATCAAATCATTAGCTTCTAGACTGTTGTCATCAGTTTTGCATTTGATTTGTGTGATTTCAGTAATCAATTTAAGAGCTTTTTGCGATAATTGATTTTGTTTGGACGGTTGATAAGATGTTTTGGCTAACAATACAATCGGCGGAACTAATTGTATTACTTGATCCATAACAATGTCTTTTGTATTCAAATAGATGTGCAATAGTTCAAGACATCTAAATAAATAAGTTWTATATATAAATTCATCAATAATTTCATATACAAAGTGGGGGTAATAATAATCATAATAATAATAATACCTATTTCTAAACATAACGACAGAGCTCTGGCGTTCAATCGATTGTTTTTTAAGATTAAATTTAGTTTTGAAAACTGCAGCCAACGAGTCGTCAATTTGAAACATTTCTGAATCGCTTAAATAAACTGAATCCTATTTTAAATAACAAAACAATACAATAATTGATATTTTTTTTAAAMMACAAACTRACTGACCTGATCGTCATCATTGTGTTCAGCGGCCGCTCCCAAAGCGTTCAGTACATCGTTGCGAAACTTTTCGTCGACATCATCGTTGGTGTCATCTTTTTCATCGTCAGATTCAGATTCATCGTCCGATTCACTTTCATCATCATCATTGGCTTCTTCATTCTCTACTTTATCATCACCACCACCATCATCATCATCGTCGTCATCATCATCCGATTCATCATTGTTGCCGAAAAGTTGATTATCATTCGATGGATTAATGGCATCGATTAGATACTGTATGCCAGAGCTGGTTATATGACTACAAATATGTCTAAAGCTCGACACAAGAGCTTCTTTAATTAGTTTCGAGTTTTTGGTTAACAACGATATTATTAAGTCCATCAATACGTCCGACCAAACCGGTGTCGTAGACGAGTCGTCATTATCTTCTAGTTTGCCATCGATGGCACGCTTTCGACATTCATCCAAATCCTTAAACAAATTAAAATTTTTAAAATATTCTTAAGATTCTTTGTTTACAAAACAAACCGCTAAAATATTGTCCACATCTTCAAACTCTTCAAACATCTGAATGCCAACCGTTGAATACAAAACAATAAAAATCTGAATTTCAATTCGTTTGTCTTCAGTTGTCTTGAGTTTCCTATTAAGTTTGGACACTCTTTTCGATACATTATGAAACAGTTCCACAATCTAATCATTAAGATTTATATATATATATATATATAACATATTAATTAGGTTTTATCCAATAAATTTTTTAACAGTAATTACTAATACTAACTCTTGAATCAATCAAACAGCTGCTCATATCTTCATCTGATGTCAACAATTCGTTGATAAACTTAACCATTTTGGTCACAGTCTGYGACTCCCAAACCAATCTCTCTTTGGCTGACTTTACATCCAAGTGTATGCTGTGATTGAATAAATTATAGAAACAATGTCTTAAAGCATCGCGAAGTTTATCGCTGACCGGAGCTAAAGGCTTACTCTTTAAAAAAAAAATCATTAAATAATGAAAATATAAAATTAAAAAATAAATTATAAAATACAGTAGAATACATACAAAATTTAATTTATCGAAATTTTTGTTAATATCAAAATATGAATAAACAAATATGAATCTAATGTTTGTCCATAAAATGTCAAAATCTTCATTTGATGAAATAGATTTGCAGACATGTGTTATCTAAATGAATGATAATAAAATACAATGAGATTTTCAAAAAATTTATTTCAATTATAATTAACAAAAAAAAAATCAATCAATAATATAACAAAATACCTGTTGAACGCAACGATTCCTAAATAAATCATTTGATTCAACTTTATTTGTAGTCAACAAATATATCTCTTAATTTTTGTGTCCACTCCTTAACCGATAAGCTTTTCATCTAAATTTATATATTAATAATTAAATTTTAATTTATATATATATTAAACAATTATATAAATCATTTAAAACATACAGATTTGCAGAGATGTTCAAAAAACTTGGACTTTGATATCGTGTCAAAGAGTAGAGATCCAGGTCTTTAATAAAAAAAAATTTAAAAATATATTTTAAAAACAATTAATGTATCATTAATTTACTAAATGTCTTACTCTTTTGTAAAATTATTAATAAACTCCAATTGAAATTCATGATTATCCAAACTTTTTGAAAAGTTTACAAAGAAATCGCACTAAAATTTTTTAAAAATAATAATAATTATTAATTACTAAAATTGTTACACTTAAATAAAAATATTAATCCTATAAATAATTCAATAAAATAACAATTAATATTACAAATTTAATTTTTAAATACCATTTTTAATGATGCGTTGTGTAGAGTATGGGATTTCGATGACAACGATTGAATGAATAGTCGCAAAAATGATGCGGATATTACTGTCGATATCTAATGTGAAATAATTAAATATATAAYAAAAATTTTAAAAATCAAAAAATAAAATATCATTAAAATTTGTTTAAAATAAAAATACATGTTTAGATTTAATCAATGGTAGCGCCAGTTTAATCAATTCAAATCCTAGCAATCCTTTTTCTATTTGATTTGGTGTAAATAATGTGTCTAAATATATATATATATATATATTTTAAAATTAGAAATAATTTTAAAATTACMGATAAAATTATCATTAGATTATTAAAGTATATACCATCGACACATTGTTTCCAAAATTTAACAAAATGTTTGCTATCATTAGTAGCAAAATGTTTGATAATCTGTTCATTTACCGGATGAACTAATGGTTGATATTGTGTCGACTCCTAAATAATAATAATATTAACAAATTAATGATAAATTAAAACCTAAAAATTATGTTAATAATAATAATATATATATAAAATAATCAATACTTTAATTAATTGCAAAAGTCGTTGCAAATCATCTGATTTTAATATATAGTTTAGTCGGTCTCTATCGCAATGATCCTACAGATTATAATATAAAATTTATATTTAAAAATCAATCATCAAATCTATAGTTAATTTAAAAAAATAAAAAAAATACAAACGGGAAAAGTGTCGCAAACAAACAGATAGACAAATAGGAAAAACGGTTTAAATTTGTTATCATTATTATTATTATTATCGATATCTTCGTGTAGTTTGTCGACAACTATTTCATCTAATTTTTTAGGATTCAAGTCGACTATAAATTGTTGAATCAATTGACAGACAATTAGCTCGACGTAGGCTTTAGTTGTTCCCAATGTATATAAGTTATCAAATACTTTGCCGAGAATGTCGTCGTTGGCTTCGGACAGACGTTCACTTTTGATTAGTGAGGCCAACATCAGTGACCAGCCGATCACCGAATCGTGATTTGATGATGACTTAATTGGTTGTAAATGTTTTTCGGCCAAATCAATGACCAACTTTAAGGTAACATTTTTCTTGAACATTGTCAACAACTATATTGAATGAGAGACCAAATAAATCAATCATCAAAAAAACAATGTCCGGAACCAATATATTGGTGACAATAAAAAATTTTTTTATTTACTTGTGTTAGGAGCACACAAAAGCCGTGTCTTGCAAACTGTCGGGCAGAGGCCAGACCACGGATGACGCGATCCAAACAATATCTGATATCATTATTACCTTTTGAGTCCTTTTTGTTTGTGAAAGAAAATGACAACAAAAAAAATGGTCAATAAGTGGTCATAAAAATTTCATTTTCATTTACCCATTGTTTGGTGAGAATATCGACAATAGTCTTCAGACTCTTGTTTCGTTTGTCTTCGTTTGGGTCGGCAATTAGCCAGAACTGGTCGAGAATGCGTTGGTCGGCATCGGGTCGGCGAAGTTTGGCCGCTACTGGCTTTATGTCGGCCGTCTCACCGGTGGTGGTGGTCGTCGTCGTCGCCGCCGACAGTACCAAGTCTTGCTTTGAGTCCATCGATGATGTGGCCATCAATGTGATCAGCGGGCAGTCAATCAATCAGTCCGTCGGTAATCAAATAAGTGGGACAACAATCAGTTTTTTTTGTTACATTCAATCAATCAATCAGTCAATGCATTCAAAAAAACATGTGTTTTATATATGTTTTAAAACACTTCACACAAAACGTGGGTTTGTTTTTGTGTTTTTTAGTGTTTTGAACGACAATAACGTCAATGTATTTAAACAATGATTTTTTAAAGACAGTTGTCATCGACTTTGAAGAGACAAAACAACCACTTTATTGTTGTTGAAGAAGAAGAATAAGAAGAAAAAACAAGACAACTAAATGATGGTTACCATCGATGAGTTACCCCAAGAGATTGTCGACAAAATACTAGTGTTGTTGTCGTTCAACGACCGACTACTAGCCAGTCGTGTGTGCCGTCGATGGCATTCACTGGTCTTCAATACCGCTGCCGTCTCATCTGCCGTCCGATTCTGTATCCGTTACAAGACGTCCAATAATAATGAAGAAGACAACCAAAAGACAATTTACGAAAGCAAACAACTCTATTGGAAAGCAATGGATGTATTGGCCAATAGTTTTGCCGACTTTTCCGACATACTCATCGAATCGGTTAATCTGGACTCTGACGATACAATAGTTGCCGATCGATGGCAACGAGTGGCCACTAGTGTCCAGTGTTTGCATCTGATTGATTGTACAACAACTGACTATCACTTGTTGGCCATATTGTCACAGTTGCCATCGCTAGTGGAGTTGCATCTCAATAATAACTACTATCTGATCAAACAAAGCCAACAAACGGCTACAATCGGCAAATGGTCGTCAATTGATAGAAGCGATTGTTTGCGTCGACTTCGACGGCTGGATATGTCGGGCAATAAATCGTTTAAGTTATGCGATGCCTTGTTTGTGGCCATTGTCCAACATTGTCGCGACGGTAGCTTACGATCGGTAAATGTGGCCAACTGTAAGCTAGTATTTCATTTTCATATCATACGCCGGTACTACGGTAGCGACTGTTGCGATCACTGGTCACAGGCCACACACTATGCCTTTACGTTTGCCGTAATCAAAGAGTTTTGTCTGAAATTTGGCCAACAAATCGAGTCAATGGATTTTAGCGGAACCGACATATGTTATCAACATTTACTGGAACTGTTAGACTTGCAATCATTGGCAACTAATTTAAGACAATTTATTATTAAAGATTGTCGACAACTACTGACAAATGGTGATAATTTGACAGAAATTGTACGCTTGAAACCAATGATTAAATTTATTTATTAATTACCGGTAATTGTTTCTCTCTTTCTCTCTCTCTCTCTCTCTCTCTCTCTCTCTCTCTCTCTCTCTCTTTCTCTATACTGTCAGTAGTACTACTGTACAACTATTATTAATAATGAATTATTAATAATATTTTTTAAACGACTATTGTGTATATGTATACTATATTTGTTATATTTATTATTAAATGAATAAATGAATTTTTAATAAGACATTTAAATATTAAACTCTCATAATATTTTCATTTTCATTGAGATGTCATTGAAATATCTATACAGCAATATATTTAGGTATACACAGTGTGTATATAGAGTATAGTATAGTTTTAGTAAATACGGGTAAAAATTTATAGTGTATTATATACCGTATAACTTATACGGTTATATGATATATACAACTAATACCATATATATTGTATAGTACTTTATATAACGGTATACAGTATACACATACACACACACACAGTGTGTATTTATAATATGATGATAGCCTATGAAAATGAAATGAAACTAAAATGAAAGATAATTTAGATATTAAATATTCAAAACCAACTATTTTAAGTCAATATTATGTTTGCTAAATATTTAATTATACACTTTTGTCTGTCTATGTTATGTACAGTATGTATGTGTGTGTGTGTGTGTGTGTGTGTGTGTGTCTGTGCATAATGTTTAGGAATATCCAGATTTTTATTGTCGTTGTTGTTACTAAACAGACTGTTGAATACCTGAAACCTAATGTGTCATTTGATATGTCAGGCCTCGACCCCCGATGGGTCCCTACCTAATCAGTCCATTAACTGGTTACTACTACTACTACTACTATATATATTAGACTTAATGGTTGACCACTATAGTTGATATCATAAATATGTATTTGAATACACGATAATAGGTCTGTTATGTTGAACCATAAATATGAGAGTTTTTTTTCAATCATAAATTTTGTGTAATTTTCAGTTAATTTATTAAGATTATAATTACGGTATTATAAAAGATATTTTTTTATATAAATGTTTAAATAATAATGCATCTATGAAACAGTTGGATAGTTGGTTGATTCAGTTGGGATACTTGGCCTCAATGGGTGTCTCATTATATTTAGTCATTGAATGCAAAAGATAGTAGTAGTAGTAGTAGTAGTAGTCATCAGTGGATAAATCAATGACATAAAGACATAATAATATCAATAATAATAATGGGGTTTATGAATAAAATAATCATTTATCATAAATATATTAATATATTGATGCAAAATAAGCAAATATTATAATAATAGTAATAATAAATTAGTAGTAATGAAAAAAAAATAAAATAGTATATCATATATATTGCTATACATAATATATTCATATTATATTAAACAAAATCAAAATTTTCATGTTTGAGCCGGTATTTACTATAAATATAACATATATATACCTGTATATACTGTATTTTTGTTGTTGTTATATAATATATCATATAAAATAACTATACAATAAATGTATAGTAATGAATAAATTAAAATATCATACTATATATCGAGTGTGTAATAAAAACTACCAATATAATTTTGTTTTTTATACTACTAGTTTTTTTATACATGTAATTTATTTGAAATATTAAACACTATTAAATAAAAAAGTATTGAAAAATAAGAGATATTTTATAAAGAGTAATATACAGATTAAATACAGTATATATMTATCTATATTACTATATATAACTTAGGTTATAATATAGGATTTATTGTGAAATATTTAATAATAAACATTTTTTTTAAAAAAAATATTACTGTATTTTTCCGTATCATTGAGTTTAACAAAAAAAAATTTATTAATTTATTAATCCATAAATATCCCCAGCAATTGGGAGTATTGATTAGAAAATAATAACTATAATAATATTTTGTTTTTAGTTTTTGAAAAACTATTAATTATAAAACTGATAATGGGCAACACAATACAATACAAATTAACCATCAAATTATATTAAAGTGTAATTATCAATTGGATAATGCACTTTCCAACAAATTGTATATAAAGAAAAAAAATTTGTAGGCTTTTTAATATACAGTATATWTATATATATATATATATCAAACATATTGTACCAAAAAAAAGGAGAGCACACATGTAGTCATGCAGTTATGTAATTCCCCCGATATTTCACTAGACGTGTCATTCAATTCAATAATAATACAGTTGTGTTATACAATATATATATAAAGTATATATAACTTATTGTTTAGTACTTTAAATTTAAAACCATTTATCAATGGTTTGTATCTCGAAACATATATATTTTTTTATATTGTATAATACATTGTATAAATTACATGAGTATATATATATATATATATACTAATGGCTTCTAAATTTTAAACAATACTTTTTGACAATGTTTTACATGTAATACAAATAAATAACAGTAAATTTCAATCAATTTTGTCGAGTCTATTGAGAACAAACATTTTAAAACTCGTTATTGTATTCTCTCTCTCTCTCTCTCTCTCTCTCTCTCTCTCTCTCTCTCTCTCTCTCTCTCTCTAAAACACAAATAAATATATTTTTATAGTCTATGGGTTACCATTAAATTTATTTACACTAATTTATAATTTATATAAATTTTTATATATATTTGACTTTATATGTATATATATATATATATATATATATATATATATAAGTTATATATGATATTAATATATTCAGTTCATAAAATTTGTTGAAAATTAGTGATAAATATTATTTAGTTATTCATTTTTAATACTCTATAATTTATTAATGAGTGAATATTATTTTTAAATACATGTACAGTATTTACACAGTAGGAAGTATACAAAAAGGGTTATTAAATATTCAATTTATATATAATTTTATATATAATATTTTATGATTTTTATACGACTTTTTTCAAATTAATTAATTAATCATATATAAGATAATTATTTAGTTAACAAACAACCAAAAAATCTGATTTAAAAATAACTTATTATACACTAATTATATTATAGATTTCTATTAATTTATATGGTATTATTAAACTAATAATACTAAAATCCATTTAATATATATATATATATATATATACTTTATGTATAAATACATAATATTGTATAATAAATTTTCAATACTCAATCACTTAAAATTGTTTATTATGTTAATTTTTATTTTATTATTATTAGTATTATTATTTTTACGTGTAAATCAATAACACAAATCTACTGGTAATTTGATTGGGAGATTGGATTTTAGTTTTATGATTTACACATATAGTAGTAGTAGTAGTAGTAGTAGTAGTAGTAGTAAATAGTGTACCGGTATATACAGTATGTGATGTGAATGTTTCAGAGAAATACTACATATATTACTGTATACACAAACTAATGGGTATTGATATTTGATGTAATTATATATACAGTACTGTATATATATATATATATATATATATATATATACTAACACAAAATGTATGCCATTTTAGTATCAAAGAGACAAATCCAATTTATCACAGACATACAGTAATTATTATACAATTTATAGGTTATATCATATACAGTATATACTATACAGTATATATACACAAATAGTAAACATATTATTAGAAAAAGTACCAGTATACTTTATTATATGATAAAATCACCAAGCGCCGTCACCAAATAAAATTCAATATGAGTTTTTTCAACAGCAACAACAAAAAATTAGCTAACTGTGCCGTATTTATCATTATTAGTTTTATATTGATGATGTTATCATTGCACAACGTATTCAATTGATTTTTCTGAAATGATAACCCAGTTAATCACACACACACACACACACACACACACACACATCAATACTACGGTATATACGGTATGGTACATATAAAAACAAAAATATAAAATAAAACTACATTTTTATTTAATAGCAATAAATATAATGCTTACAAAAATATTCTTACATTTTCAATATATGAAATATGATTWTTGAATAAATTCTAATTAAATATTATTTCATTGTATTTATTTTTAACTTTAAAAAAATATAATTATAAATCTTAGCTATTGGAGGAAAACATTTTAAAATTGAAAATACATAATACTACTTATCCTTTTAAAAAATTTCAAATATGTTTTCAAAAATAAAAATATATATATATATTGTCTGACGTTTAGCAACACTGACTTCACAACAATACCATTAATACTAAATTATAGGATACGAGTGAATGATTTAGAAAGAGAGAGAGAGAGAGAGAGAGAGAATATTAGACAAATAGCTATTGAGTGAGTGAGTGAGTGACTGTGTGTGTGTTAGCACTAAATAATTATAAATTATTAATAAATAATACATTGATATAAATAAATATAAAAAAAACCTAATGATCATAAGGTTCTGACCTATGTTTTCTGTTTGGTGTCTCTGAGAATCGACACATCTGATAGGTATTAGTATACAGTATATTAATATAGTATTTGTCAGTCGATATAATAGTCGGAAGAGAGAGAGAGAGAGAGAGAGAGAGAGAGAGAGAGAGAGAGAGAGAGAGAGAGAGAGAGAGAGAGAGAGAGATAAAGAGAGAGAGAGAGAGAGTCGGGTCGAGTCGGGAGTCAATTCATTGGTGTCACGATATAGTAATTGTTTCCATCATTTTATATCATATATATATATACTAAAATATATTATATATGTATTATTATTATTATTATTTATATTCTATGATATTTAGGTTTTTTTTGTTAGAATTTAAACACATTTTTCTATTTTTTTTATATCTATTTGAAATGAATGAATTACTACATACACACTGTATTTATCATTTATTGAATATAAAATTTTTTTTATATATAAATATATCGATAAAAAGGTTTTATATTATTAACATTGTGTCACCCAATCAATTCACTATCCAATTATAGTGACAATATAAGGTCAATAAAATTTAATAATTTATAGCTATTTGCAAAATATTAGTTATGTATAATATAAATTATATAATATAATAATGCCCATATAATAATAAAAGTCATTAATAAGATAACTGTTTGGTTGGGTTAATAAATGATCTCTCATTAGATATATATATATTTTTTATTTTACGGTATATATACAGTACTAATATACTTATATTTTTGATGGCAACGAGTCGTACGACAATTTGCTACATAACTACATATAAATTTATAAGTCATTTACAATCAAATAATGTTCAGCCAAAAAATAATAGTATATAATATATAATACAATATAAAAATTTCAATCATATATACTATATATGATTGAAATTTTTATATAGCATTTATTGTATACSGTATCATATTAATACTGATATTAGTTATCATATATATATATATACAGMATATAAACGTTTTTTATTCAAAACAAAATGTGATGCTTTGACATAATCGATAATAATAATAATAATAATAATAATAATACTTAAAATAAGAGTATATACAGTATATAAATAATAGTAAAATATATACAATAAGTTTGACTAAAAAAAATAAAATAAAATAAGTTATAATCGGATTCATAATTCGTTTTGATTGCACTGTAATCTCCTAAATATATTATACAAAACATTTTCACTGGTAAAGAGCACCAACATATAAAAAAAAGACAGGTATCAAATTTTATRCCAATACATTATTATACTGTATTATATATGAAGTTTATATACTATCGGATCAAAAGCCAGTGTGTCATTTATAAAATTTATATATAGCTTTCATATATATATAATAAAGTTATGGTGTTTTAGTTATAGTTTGAAAGAGATTGAAACAATATGTGATCCGATTGTGATGTAAACATGTCTTTTGATGTGATTTTCAAATGCGATGTGAACTTCCCAAAGGGACACCAACTACTAAGTATTGGATATACAGTAAATATATACAATATATATATAAGCGATACATAACAGTAACTATAGTATAGTATATACTATATATATATATATATAAGCCTCTTGAAGAGGCGATACGATAGATGCGACAGCMGAGATGTACAGTATCTATGCTTYAGAGAGAGAGAGAGAGAGAGAGAGAGAGAGAGAGAGAGAGAGAGAGAGAGAGAGAGAGAAATAGAGAGGAACGGTATGATAGAGAAACTGATAGGCAATGATTCCTATCCCGACACCCGAGCGATGCTTTTGAATAATTGAATAGAAATGTTGAGTGTTTTGCTCTGTTGTGCTCTGCATTGCTTTCGGCGTTGATTTAAGCTCTGTCTCTCTCTATATATAAATATATATTTATACTGTATATATAAATTTATATATATATATATATTTGTACACTGTTTGTCAAATAGTATTAACTCATGTAATCAAGTAATACCTCATATACCTTATATAACTAAATACATAACTATCCTAATGTATAGTATAGTGATTATATTGGGAAATAAAATGTATTAAATGTATATTTTCTCTTTCAGTCTAAACATCAAATATTGTATATAACTATAAAAATTTATATAAACTCTATTATCATTGCAATTGCTATATGAGTTTGCAGTCCACCGACTTTTTCTATTTTCTCTCTCTCTCTCTCTCTCTCTCTCTCTCTCTCTCACTCAGTCAGTCTCTCTCATGTGTAACATCTCTCCAGTCATACACATACACACACACACATATACATACAGCAACTCATCCAGTGATCCACTCATTCACTTGTCGGGTGTGGTTGTACTGAGCCATAGGTGCGGTTCAAACTCTATTGTCTAACTATAAAATACTGTATTACATGTGATGATGGCATTGATGATGATGATGACTACGATGACACACTGATGGCTATGATGGCAATGACGAGAGCTAACAGTTCACTCCTTTTTATTAAATGTTTGGCCACAATATTTAGTGGTCGGAGCTCTCACTCACACATATAATAAGATACAACAAAAAATACTGCACTTTAATTGATACCATTTTTCTCAATCAATTTTTGGCACTAATATATCAAAACACACTATTGTTTTTAGTTTTATTTTTCTAAWATACTGTATATAAATAATTTTCTTTGCCTCTAGATTTTGACAACCAATTTGTATTAATGTATTGTATTATAAATTAATTAATTATTTTTTAAGTTTATTGTTATAATAAATATATATATATTATCAATCAATATATAATAAAATTTTCTCAAAATAATTTCTATTATTATCATATACTATTAGTAGTATTAGTGGAAAATTTAATTAGTAATTTTGCAATTGAATTAAAATATTATAATGCTATGATTCAGTGTAATGCAAATATTGAGTGTATGTTTAGTAGAAATTTTCAAATATATATAAAAGAGACAAAACTTTTATATATTATTATGATTTGTTTGAATGAATGAATGCAATCAATCATCAATTATATGGATATAAATAAAAGCAATAAGAGTTGTACAGTTATATTATAGTACAGTACAAGTTTCCACTCAATAGTATAATATAGTATAGTATAGTATGGTATGGTATTCAAGTAATAATGAAAGTGATTGTTCACATCAATGTTAAAAACTAATTTAGTTGTTGTTTAGTCAAATCCTATGGTGTTAGACATTAAATTGGGGAAACMGGAGATGGATAGGAGAGAGAGAGAGAGAGAGAGTGAGAGTGAATGCTTGGCACTGACAGTTAAAAAGCCAACTGAGCACCTGAGCCTTTTAAGGTCGGGTTTGCACTTAAAAAGCATCGGCTCTGAGTGTATGCACATTATCTATSTGTATGTCTGTGTGTATGTGTGTGTGATGGCTATAACGGTGCCTATAATTTCCGAGTAGTCTTTTATTTAGACATATAAATGTCAATCCAATGATTGTATGTATAAACACAAAACCCATGGCATTGATTCAATTAGTTGGACRACTGAATGACACGCGTCTCCCAATTGAATGGCAATCCAATGCATTGGCCTATTGTTTGCCTGGATATTAACGGCACGCGTCTTGCGTTTGGCCGCACATATACCGATCCCGGGTCTCTCTCTCTCTCTCTCTCTCTCTCTCTCGCTTGTCTTTCAAWCAACATAGCGTTTAGATAGTGTACAAAACACAACGAAATATATATATATATATATAATGTTTTTGGGTAATGGATARGCAGGTGCACATACAGTACATATAGAGTATAGCATATACAATGCCATACAAACTATCATCGCATCCATAAGCGCACCACCACTACATCCAWATACAGTATATGACATTATTGATAACTTAGTATTGAATGACTAATTGCAAAATAAAAATTTTTGTTTTGTTCGTTATGAGCCTTTTTATATATCAATTATTTCATTTAGATTTTTTTCTTACATTATATACATATTACATATCAATAATAATAATAATAATCGTAATAATAATAATAATAATAATAATAATCATAATAATAATAATAATAAGATAGTGTACATTACATTATTACATACAAATCATACATTTGTTTTTGTTGGTATTGTTATTAATATTATATTTTTTTTTTGTTATTTGTCACAACAATTCGGGTTAAATTTATAATATAATAATCATAATCATTATATATAGAGAGAATTAATTAATTTAATTAATAGGAATTCAATTATAAACCTAAAATATTTACAATAACTGTTTGTTTGTAATTCAAAAAATCTTTAAATAAATAATAATAATAATAATAATAATCTGTTTGTTAGGTTATATTTGGTTTTTATTTTATAAGTAAAAGTTTGAATTAGTATTTATATTATTTTATTATTTTTCTTGTTTGGCAAACATTATTTTATATCGGGTTTCACTTATTTATTATTTTTTTTGTAAATATACTGTAAATATATATTGGTATATAACTTATATATTTATATACAGGTATATATGATATGTGTTTGTGTGTGTATGTGATATAAATACAACACTATTATCGCAATCATTGTTTAATTTAGATTTTTTTGTTGTTGAAAATGCCGTAAATAATTTATAAATGTAATTTATTATTTAATAAAAAATTACATAAAACTGTATTAAATGAAAACTGTGTTAATATTATTATTACTATTATATCCTTATTTTTTAAGAGTTTTATTCCAGTTATTTTCGCAKTTATTKTTGTTATATTGTTTTTTTAAATAATAATTTTATTTTACAATAATTWTATGTTTTTTWWWAWTTTTTTTTGTAATTGTCTGCTAACTTAAACATACAGTACAACAGCTTACTGTGTTTGACCTCCCGGTCCGTTCACTGCCGAGTATTTCATACGTTTTTGTTTTTGTCTTTGATTGCAAAACCAGACGCGGACCACGTTTTTCTTGAGGTCCAACTTTTCGGCGATGGCCGCAATTTTTTCGCCCGACGGTCGCGGCTGTACAGAGAAGTAKGCCTCGAGCGACCGTTTTTCTGGGGCAGCAATCGACGTACGCTTTCGTTTYTTATCACTCGACGGTAGTACACAAAGATCTCCGTCTCGGCCGTTGTTACGATTTTTGCGGGCCTGAGCTTCGGCCGCCTCCAGCCAGGCCTGTAGTATCGGTTTCAGTGCCACCATATTGTTGTGGGACAGTGTTAGCGATTCAAAACTGTTTATTTTTTGGGTAAGTTTTTTGGTTGGATAGCAATTTAGATGTTTGTTACAATCATAATTTGATTATATATGATATATAATTTTTTTGTTGTTGTAATTAGCATTAATTAATTTAATTACCGGCATATAGTACTCTGCGAGAGTGAGCCGACGCCCGGAAGCTTCAAATTGGCCAAAGCTTTGCCGACGTCGGCCTGAGTGACGCCAAGTTTGATACGCCTTTGTTTAAACCTTTCAGCAAAGGCCTCGAGCTCTCGTGGATCGGCATCTAATAGTGACGGGTCGGCGGCCACGTGATGGGGCGATGTGGCCACAAATGAACTGTGATGATGTGGATGATGGTGCGGGTGATGATGAAACGGATTCTGGATCTGATGACTAGTCAGTTGCGATGCACTCGGATGATGATGTAGGCCAGGAATCATACCATTGACTATTATGTGATGGAGAGGGAAAGGGAGGCAGAAAGGGAATGGTAGTGCACACACACAAAAAAACGTATGGTTTATTCAATATATAATATATCAATATACAGTATATATATAGTGTATATATAAATATTAATTAATGGGCAACAAAAACGACACAATGGAAAAGCACTTGTATGTTAAATGAGTCAAATATAATACTAATAATAATATTTAACAATAATAATCACCATTCATAGGGTTGTGGTGATGTGTGTGAGCCGTATAGAGAGCGGAAGGTGCGTGTAATTGAGCGCTGGATGACGATCCCGGATGATGGGAGACATCAGATGCCTGGGCCGCTAAGCCCAGCGCTGACGACATGGGATCAGCGGTAAGGAACTCATGCATCTCTGATGAATGATGCTGTCGACTCTGCATCATATGGTGATGGTATGCCATAGACGACATGTCTGGCTTAATGTTGGCCTGATTTCGGCTGCTCAGGTCGTGTAGTTCAACGGTGGCTGCATCGAGACCCGCGGCGGCAAATATATTGGCGGATCCCTAACAACAACAAAAAATCATAGTCACACATCAATACAGACAGTGAGGTACTGTAGTTTAGATATATATATATATATATAGTTTGGAAACAGAGGTATTGCCAGTAATAGAGTGATAGATATATAATGGAGTGAGAGATACTCTATGGTCTATGGGTTTGTAGTGCTTAATAAAAGTGCCGCTTATTATGATTAAAAGCAAAATCATATGTATTAAAGCTATTAATTTGCATTAATTGCTACTTTGATCGATGAGTTAAATGAGTGCATGGCTTGCATATCAACTAATCTCTCTCTATATATACAGTATAAGTATATACTATATATGTAAAATATGGTACAATAATATGATATAATATCATAGATTTTCATAGCTATATGGATGTACGTGTGCTATGCGCACCGGTATATAAATCTCTGCTCTGATAAGCACACAATCATATATTAATACGGTATTTGATTTGATGCAAGCATTTAATTAATTCATAATTTTTTTTTCTCTCTCTTGTTTAAAAAAAAATGATAATAATTCTCCAAAATATTATTATAATATATATATATATAACAATGTTTTACTAATTTATATATTTTCAGTTCAATTCAGTTTCTCTTATACTGTCTATTGATAGTATACTATGTATTGATACACAATGTTATACAATATCATATAATATACGAAAATAGATTTTTGTTTCACTATTGTTGCCCAAAGCAGTTAGCAATTAATAATTTATAATATGAATAGTTATGTTTATATTATATAAAAATAATTTATATATATATATATATATATATATATATATATATATATATATATATATATAAATCAGTTATGGATATCTCTTTGATGATGATTATTAGTATTGGGCACACATTTATACATTTATGCAAATAAGGCACTACTGTTAGTACTTGTGTTTATTGTTGGGTTATCACTGTTATCACAGACATACACAATGGTTGTGTGCTTTTCAAATGAATGAATAAAAAAATACTATTTAGAAAATACCATTTAATTATTTAAAGAGAGCCACATATATAATGCAATTCCACTTTTTGTGGCTTATTATAAAAACATGAACTGAAAGAGAGAGAGAGAGAGAGAGAGAGAGAGAGAGAGAGAGAGAGAGAGAGAGAGAGAGAGAGAGAGCCCAGACCCCAATTAATAAATAAAATATTTTTACTCTCTCTCTCTCGCACTCTAATCATAGATTATAGTCATACATACACACACACACAACACACCCAACCAGACACGCAGTTCAGGTATAACCCAGTGTTAAAAATGTGTATACAGTATGTATCTATGAATGTGTGTGTGTGTGCACTACCAGTGCTGTTTTTAACACACTTATTAAATAACGAGTGATATATTTTCTATCATTTTCTTTTAGAGCCAAAAGTGAAAAGTTTTTTTTAATATAAATATAATAATAATAATGTTTTATGTTTGACACACATGTTTAAAATCATTTTAAAAACCAACACAATTGTGTSTATGTGTGTGTGTAGTTTGACATTAAAACAAAATAAGTGTTACATTTAATTATAGTGCACTAATATTTATCTATCACTATCTAATTGTGTGAAAAAAAWTTTTTTTAATTGTGAAATATAATCAAAATGGATGGGACACAACAATATATTGACAACTAAAAAAAATACATTATTAAAAGATAAATATATATATATATTTACAATGTTATCGTAATAATCATTATTAGTAGTATTATTAGTAGTGATATTATTATTATTATTATTATTATTATTATTATTACTATTCATCTCATCAATGATTTTACGGAATCGTTCGGCAGTGAAGTGCTATTTGAGGGGCAAAAACTCAACTTCAGTCAACAATTTTCATTTTCAGTCAAAAAAAAGTGTAAGTTTTTCAACTAAACGTTTATTTATATATATATAAATATATTAATGTATTGTATATTTTTGCAATGAGTTTATCTCAACAACAAAATCATATTTTTATTAGTGAAATATCGGAAAAAATTAAAATTAAAAATTAAAAACGATTTGCAATTTGACACATTAGTCAGTTAGTTATTTATGAGATTTATTTTTTTATATATATATAAATAAAAAACAGATTGTTTTTTTTTTGATTGAATACCTACAGTCACTAATACTATCTATAAAAAAATCCAGTGTATTATATTGTGTGTGTAAAATATATGTCATATACTATTATCTCTCTCAGTCTTACCGGTGATGAGTGTGGGTTAGGTGTCATAGTTGTACAGTGTCTTCTCATATCTCGATGATGGATAGATGTAGGTGTATACGGTGACGGTGGCGAAAAGGTACGGCCAGCGCCGGGGGAACCGACGTTTTGATTTGAAAAACACGACGTATTGTTATTATTATTATTAGGACTGTTTGTCTTTATGTTGATAGTATTATTCATATCATATCATTACAAACTAGGATATATCATAACAAACAAACAAACAAAAAAACTTGATTATTATTATATCATCGATGATAATAATAATAATAATGTATATAAATATTGCGATAGACACTGACGATTGAATAGCTCTTGGTTTGACAAAATGTAATGCATTTTATTTACTCCAAAGAGTGAAACAGAGAGAGAGACGGCTTTTTTGTGAAGATGAGTGAAACTGATAGATAAGTTTGGGCACCAACTTCTATGGCTCTCTTTTTCCTCTCCTCTCTCTTTCTCTCTCTCTCTCTCTCTCTCTCTCTCTCTCTCTCTCTCTCATTCTCTCTCTCTCTCTCTATTTTGATCTCTCCAGTCATGCCCGATGTGATACCACTACCACTACTAGTGGCCTCCACTCTTGACTGAACCAATCAGAGCATTGTATAGGCGCTGTATATACCTGTAAACTGTTATAATGCAAGACAAGTGCATCCATTGAATAGATGTATATATGTTTCTCCCATGGATTACATGCTATCTGCCAGTGCTTGTATATAAAAAGTATGTTTATATATATATATAGTTGTATAGATTCACAATAGGGTTATGGACATGGGGTTATAATGGCAATGTGTATGTATAAATTTTTATGTGTGTGTGTATGTGTATGAGTTTGTGTGTGTATGTGTCTCATCAAGTAGTCATCTATTATAACATTTAATGTCATTTTGTGTTACTCGCACTTAATTTAATATAATTGCTATTTTGAGTGATCCCTCTTTTTTTGTGCAAATATAGTCAAAATACCATAAACACACACAACACTCATAATTGTCATGCACTTCATTCAATGCATTTCAATGTATACTAAATTTTAACAAAACTAAATGCACACGCATTGATGATAATCACAACAAGAGAGAGAGAGAGAGAGAGAGAGAGAGAGAGAGAGAGAGAGAGAGAGAGAGAGAGAGAGAGAGAGATAAAGGGCACAGTTATCTTTTATGGTTTGACTTCCATACACCCCATACAAACCAATGTATTATACAATATATAAGTTCCTTATTAGTCACAAATCACTCATTATATTTTTATATATATAAAATAAGATTAAAATTTACTTTCATTTTATTTGTTAGTGATCAGTGACAGCAACATTGAAAAACAATGTTTAGAGAGAAGAAAGGAAGAAAGAGTGAGTGAGAGAGAGAGAGAGAAAGAGAGAGAAAGGAAATAAATGGCAATTGAGGGCAAACTAAGAGCTAATATAAGACTTTGAGGACAATAATAATATATTGTTGTAAATGGCATCGCAATGCCATTCATATGGCCATTGAATGGCACATTAGTGGTCTATTGTGTGAATGGGCAGCAAATTTTAGTTGTAATACTAGTTTATTATAGTTAGCCCATCACTTGGACTAAACAAACGCCAGAGTCCTAATCATTTGAAATGTTGCCTCATTGGCGTTGGACACGGAAATTGCATTATAGCTCATCACTGATTTGCTTTTATTTTTTTTTTGTTTTGTTTTGTTTAGTGTTTAGTCTGCAACAGTTGGTCCAACACTATCTAACACAACTGCAACACTATATACAGTACAGTATATATATATCAATATATTGTATATGCATTCACTTCTCTCTCTCTCTCTCCGCATCCAACTGTCCATCGCTTTGTGTTTATCTTAATTCTCTGGTGTATCGGTGCTCTGCCAAGGATTCAACCAAAAGCAAATATATGGCAAACATATGGATTAATGTTCAATTGTTAATCCAAACCCATTGTTAAATGATAAAGAGAGAGCACATTCAGGCCTACCATTCAAATACATATCACTTCTAGTCAAACGCCTCTCGCCTCTGGGCTCCCCAAACACTAGAGCAGAGGGTCAAGTAAGACAACTACTATCCTCTCACTCCTATTCACTCTCTCTCTCTCTCTATTTACTATTTTTCTATGAGTCCATACAATAGGGTAATGTATATAACAGTTTCAATTCTATAACATATTAAACATTATATTTTTTTCTGGGGGCTCAACAATACATATATCCATATACAATGATTATGACTGCTCTCTCTCTCTCTCTCTCTCTCTCACTCACTCATGTAGCGCTTATGTTATGAATTAAAATGATAATAATAATAATAATAGCAATTTATGACATTATATACTTTTATAACTGTTGTGAATATAATGTAATATAGCGTATATATTGACTCCCGAGTGGATAGAGTGGGATATATATCTATACTACTCATATATATATATACTAAATAATAAGCATTAAAAGATTACAATTTTGACAATATATTCACTCAATTTATCAAATAATACAACTTCTAAGTAATTACTAACAGATCAACAAAAGTTATTCATACTTTTTTTTAGTGTAATTTATATACTCTACAGTATATAACATACTGTTTATACACTTATTCACTTCACTTTAACATTATTTTTATTAATGTTTTTTAAAAAATACATATATTTATTTAAATTTATTTTTATAACTTTTCAAATATACAAGTATTTTGTGGTAACGCCATAATAATATTTAACATTATTTTTCATTGATATTAATGAACCAAAAAAAACTATATATATTGTATATATAAGTATAAATGTATATAAAAAACTCTTTGAAATTAATATGCATATAATAATAATAATAATATACTGTAAATACTACTTTAGTATTAATATTAGTAAAGTATTATACTGTTAAAACATAGAAATATATATACACACACATAATAATAATTATTATTATAACAAATAATTATCGTATATTTTGCACTGTAATTATTAAATAAAAATATAGTTCACCAAAAATATATATATGTATATAAAAATAAAATAATAATAATAATAATTAAAATGCTGAAATTGAAAATATCAGGTAATTAACAGAAACATTTAGTCCAAACGAAAATAAAAAAATAAATGTTGTTTTGAATGATTCAAACTAACAAAAAAAAGAGTCTTATTTGTTTGACCTCTCTCTTGTATATACTGTATATATATATATATATATATATATAATACCCGAGTATTATTCAGAGATTTACTGTAGTTTTCGGGTGACTTATTATACACTGAATTTATTTATTCATGAATTAATGCAATGAATGCAATACTTTATAAGGAATCCAATCAACATTTCTCAGATCGAAAATCTACTTTCTCTCTCTCTCTCTCTCTCTCTCTCTCTCTCTCTCTCTCTCTCTCTCTCTCTCTCTCTCTCTCTCTCTCTCTCTCTCGGAGCTAACTGTGCGTGAGTTGTGTGTTATACTCTTTACTTTAATATATATATATATTTTGTACAGTATATACATTAACTAATGGTTAGGTATAATAACACATAACGTTTGGAACATAGGGTTGTCTAATACCAGAGCGATAGAGAGCTATGCTATCATTTGTATTCAAGTCTACCCAAAAAAAAATATATTGTACGGAAAGGTTAGGTTAGGAACTAATGACATAGAAGTGGTATATAAATATATATACAGTATATATATATATATATATATCATATATGGCTCGTGGAGTGGAAGAGCTCTCACGCATTGGTCTCACAAAAACAATTTGATTCTCATCACAACTAAAAGTAATTGTAATGAAAAAAAACTAAGCCATTGAAACATCTGCGTTAGTGGTTGTCAGTGGTTAGCACTACATATAATATATATATACTTTAATATATATATATATATACTATATATTCATACACTCAATATACCATTTAGACAATATTTATGCCGTATTTATATACAGTATATGCCGACCACATATATATATAAATATAAATATATACTGTATATATCATACAACGCCCTCCTAAAGCACATGAGTTTAGCTTTGAATTGTCATCAGTTTGATAGTCATAATCATCAACAAAAATAGTATATATTTATTATTATTATTGAAAACAACAAATTATGTATTGATTATAAAACAATCCATACATTTTGCTTTCTCTCTCTCTCTTTCTCTCTTTTATCCCAAAAAACCTGCAATTTTTTACTCTCTCTCTCTCTCTCTCTCTCTCTCTCTCTCTCTCTCTCTCTCTCTCTCTCTCTCTCTCTCTCTCTCTGTAATTCTCTATACTTTGTGTTATTGCAGATGTTTTTGTTAGATTTTTTAAAGGGAGTCTTTCATTTTTTAGTCAATTGATTGAAACAAACAAATAATAAAACAAAACACAAAAAAATACATTAATACAAGATATAAAAAAAATTTAAGACACTAAAAACATAATATTTAAAAACTAGTGGGTAATTACATTACGATTATTTTATTTTATTTTTTTATTGAAACAATAAAAAAAATTCTTTAGTGTAGTAATACTTTTATATAATTTAGAAAAAATAACAAAATGCCATTAAGTCATATCATATATAAATAAATATAAATATATTGTTACGGCAATTGCTGGTCGTGTGGATAGTCGTAAAAGCCGTAAAAGTATAGTGTAATTCATATTCAAGTAAACAATTAGAAAGAGGAGAGAGAGAGAGAGAGAGAGATATTGTGAGAGATATTTATGTGAGTAAATAGTGAAATGAATTAAAATTAGTTGTGTTGTTAGGCTGTCTATGTGTGTGTGTGTGTGTGTGTGTGTGTGTGTGTGTGTGTGTGTGTAACGGCCGTGTTTTATGTGCTGCCACTTTTCATGTCATGTTATAAATGTTACGTTTGGGAAACATTGCAAAAGAGCACAAATTGAGTTAAGATTGCGTTCACCAGTCATACCTACCCATACCATACCAGTCAATATAACCGGAGTCTGAGGCACATCCATACACACACACACATACTTGACTTAGGCTTTGGCACCGGTATATGAAATATATGTCGTATATCTATATATATTAGTGCAATGGTATTGGTATGGTTGGCAATCGAGATGCTGAACTCATGTAATATTCAAAACTCAATCATGTTATCCAAACGCTCTATGTTTGTGTGTGTATTCCCAATGGATTTTTCAAAAACTATTGCAACCAATCCTACATTAGATGCGCGAAACACAAGAGCCTTACTGTAGTTATAGACACAACACTTATATATTATATATCGTATATATATATATATATATATATATATAATAGATATTTATGTATTGAGATTACATACTGTAATACTGTTAATGTTATTGCTATAAATGCCATCAAAAAAATAGTATACTTTCTCTCTCTCTCTCTCTCTCTCTCTCTCTCTCTCTCTCTCTTTCCTATCAAAACAATTCCTATTTTCCATATTTTTAAACGCTTTTAAACTCAAATATATTGTTTTTACAATTTTTATAAGTTTCTCTAAAACTCATATATCCTACTAATACAATAAGTTAAAATTACAGTATTATTATTATTACTACTACTACTACACGGTATATTATATTTTTGAAATATATATATATATATACAGTATATATTATATCCAAAATATTGTAATTTAGTTAATCCAATGGTTATAAAACTGAATTACCGCTACAATTACTATTATACTAACACTAGTACTACTAATACTAATAATATTATATTATAATATTACTACTATTTTTCATGACTAACGTTTAATTGTATTCACAAGTGACTTAAAAATATATATAATATTATATATATTTTTATTATATCTTTCACTTTCTATTTTCATTTCACTTTTGCATTTTCGTTGAATATATAAAAAAAATTTTGTTAACTTTTGTTTTATTTTATTATTATTATTATTTTCTCCTTTTTTTTAGTCTAAGCTATCTCATTGTATAACTGGTGTACAGCACTGGTATACTGTATGTGATTTTATGATTGTGTGTGTGATATACTGAAAACTGGTACAATAATTCATATAATACAGCACATACACACACACACACACACACACACACATAATATTATTTAGTATACCATAGACTTCAGTAATGGTTTGTATGTATGTGTGCACTGGTAGGCACACAACAACACATATATATACATAGATAGACATTCATATATGTTTAGTCCATTGATCGAAGTGCAGGTGCATTATTCTCCATTATTTTCTCACCTGAAAAAAATGTCTAACTCTTATGCAAAGGCGGAGACCTTTCTCTCTTTCTCTCTCTCTCTCTCTCTCTCTCTCTCTCTCTCTCTCTCTCTCTCTCTCTCTCTCTTCTATGCCTTACAATTATACTGTATATAATAGAAATAATATACAACAACACACAGACACACAACAGAAAAAATTAAATAATAACATAAAAAGAGAGAAATTTGTCTCTCATTTGTTGTACTCATTAATCATATTCAATAATTATTTGGTCAAATCCCGGCTGACAGCCCTTCCGATCCCTATTTTCCTATCTTTATGTAAGACTATATATATGCACCCACTCTTATATATATAGTATATACAGTATAGAGCTATAGCTAATATATTGAAGGAGTTTAAGGAGTATTATTAGTTTTACTAAAAACATATTTTACTATTATGTTTTGCCATCTCTCTCTCTCTCTCTCTCTCTCTCTCTCTCTCTCTCTCTCTCTCTCTCTCTCTCTCTCTCTCTCTCTCTCTCTCACTCACTCACTCTCACTCATTCACTCACTAACTCATAGATAGAGATAAAAAAACATTTTTCATATCCCAAAGTAAACTCTGAAAATAATTAATGCTTTTATATCTGAGACTAGCTTTTTATAATACTAAAGGCATGTCTCTTAGACTAAACCTTATTGTTTGCTCTACTATTGTATTAATAATTTAATTATATAGTATTTAATGAAATAAAAGTCAATCGAGTTAAAAGCATAGACTTTGACTATGTTTTTGTTATTATTATTATTTTTTAAATAAAATAAAACACTTAATACAAAGAGCTTATGTTTAATCTGATTGTGTTATTTTTTTATATTTTCAAAAAAAATCAAATGCTTAAAAAATATATTATTAAAAATTATTATTATTATTTGACTTTCAAGTATAATTGAAATAATTGTAAAATTTTTCAAAATACATTAATCTGTATTTATTTAACATTAATCAAATATTTATCTATTTTTTCTATTTGTTAGTTTGATATAATAAAAATTATAATTAATGTTATTTAGCATTATAAGTGTTTTTGACTATTTATTGTTTAATTAAATTTTGTTATAATAAATCATGAAAATAAACTTTTATATTTAATATAATTTATTAGAAAGTTATTATTTATTATATATACATATATATATTATAATTTATTAATATACAGTATTTATTATTCAAATGCTTTACTAAATTATAATAATATTATATATATATATAATTTATATGCCGTATATATATACTGCATATATTATTAAGTTTCACGTAAACATTGCCACTTATAAGATACTACTAGTTTACACACTATTTCTTAAATTTAATAAAAATGTTGTTTAATTAGCTAAAAACTTGTTATAAATAATAATCTTATTAAATTAAATTAAATAATATTTAGTTATTAAATTACTGAGACAGAGAGAGAGAGAGAGAGAGAGAGAGAGAGAGAGAGAGAGAGAGAGAGAGAGAGAGAGAGCATAGCATCAAAAAAATTGTTCATCTTTTTGGTAGTATTTTTTTCACCGGCAAACATATACTATAGTAATAATTAAGACACTAAAGTGACAAATAATTATTTCAAAAAACATTTGCATTAATAATGTTGTTTATTAAATATTAATAAAAACACTTGTGGTATAATTTAATGATAGTTAAACATGTCTTCATGTTTGATATGTGCACCAGATATATACCAGTGCTCTATATATATATATATATATATATATATATATATATATATATACTATATATATATATATATACTGTATATATAAAGACCCATTTAAACGATGCTTTTTATATGGATATGACTTAATCTGTAAGAAATATTTAACGTTATTTTATTATTTAACAATATATTATTAATTCAAAAAAATACTGTCTAATATACTGTAAATATATATATAAATATATATATATAATTTATATACCTTACTAATAATTTATACCAGTAAATTTTTAAATAAATAAATAATTAGCGACTTTTGAGTTTATTTTTAAATTAAGTATTTTATTATTATTATTAATAATTTTAATATTATACAAAATATTTATAAACCATATGTACAATATAATAATAAAAACATAGTTTTATATATATATATATATAAATAAATAAAAATTATCATTTTTTGTTGTTGACAATTTACATTAAAAAATAGATGGTATAAAAAAATTGTAATACTAGTAGTCAATGTTTTTTTTCTTAATAAAAAAAATACAAAATAAAAAATGTAATTAATGTAAAAAAATTTGTAAAGAGATCACAGAATTGTGTTATTATTGCTTTTAAAAATAATTGTCATTAAATAAAATTGTTATTAATATTATTAAAGAATAGTAAATCGAAAACAATATTATAAGGCATTTTCAATTATTTTCTTTTTATGAATCTATGGCACAATATTTATTATTAAATGTTATGTTTTATTTCTGTTTTCAAATAAAACATTTAGTCTCATTATATTTATAGAAAATATATATATATATATATATATATATAAATTTATGTGTAGTATTAGATAATGAAAAATAATAGGTATTAGAAATAATGATTGTTTTATTTTTGTATATAGAAATCGTCGAAATTATATATATATTAAGCACACTATGTCTCTACACATACACACAAAATCCTATAAAATAAAACATTTCGACATATAATTAAAACCAATTTTTCTTAATACAGCAAAACAAAAATAGTAGTACTTTATAAAAAAAAGTCAAAAACAAAATAAATATATATTTAAAAAAAATTTAAGAGCAAAGAAAAAGCAATAATAATTTTCAATTTTTTTTTCTCGGAGAAGACGTTTTTTTGACAGAGAATTAATAAAATGAACACTTTTTTGTTGGGTTGCAAATGAATTAATAATTTATATATAACTTCAGAGAAATGTTTTGACTCTCAGATACAAAAAAAGATAGGTATTTATTAGAGAGAGAGAGAGAGAGAGAGTAGGCTAACTGAGCTCTAGACCTAAACACTCTCTGAGAGGTAATAAGTGAAATGGAGAGATGAGACTGTGAGTAGAAATATATATATATATATAWAAAATGGTCACAAATTTGTTGTGTAATATGGTTTTAGGTATAAACATCTAACAAATATTTACTATATATATATAATGGATACAAAAATACAGKTAATACAGTCAAATGAAATACTCTCTATAATATATATATAAAAACTTAGTTTGCATTTTAAATGTGTGTATATATATATCAATATAAATTTTTATATATATATATAACTTATTTGGCAAATTACTTATTATTAAATATGTATATAAATATATTAAAATATATAATTTATATATATAAATATGTATAACACTTTGTTCGGCTTATCATTTTTATATAAAAATCTTATTTACAAAAAAATATCTATTTAAAAATATATATTCATATAATATTTATATATTTATCAATAGTAGTCTCTTTCTCTATCAATTTTCTATGATTTCTATATAACTTATATATAAAACACTGAAATTAATATATATATATATATCTTTTTTTTGAGTTAATCACACAAATTAACAAACAAAACAAATATTTTTATAAAAAAACACATAATTATTAAATAATAATAATTACTATTATAATACAGTATATAAAAATTGTATTCAAATAATAATAATAATACTAAATAATAATAAAACAACTAAACTGTTGTTTCATTTTTACTTTTCTTTCTCAGATTCAATGGCTGTAATTCCCTCTGAAGTCTATCAAACTCATTATAGTAGTCGTGATCGTCGGACATTTCCTCCATATCACTGCCGCTTACCCGACGGGTGCCGACAACAATACCGTTTGTGTGTGCGGACATCATTGGCGGACAATTGCCATTCATTGTCGGATGCATTGTCACGGATGGACCAGTGGTTACGGTTGGCATACCATTTATCAGTGAACTGGTCAATGAAATGGGAGATATTGGTGTCAATGGTGTATTTGGTACTGAGTTGACATAATCGTGTTCGCGACTCATCAGATGATATTCAAGATTGTCGACACATCTGGACTGGCCTTTGACGACCGGAAGAAAATCGGGAATATATCGATAGTCTTTAACTTTACCGTTGACTGACTCTGCAATTATTTTTTTGGATACATTAGTATTATATATAAAATTATATACCGATACCGATCTATACAATTAAACAAATAAAGGATAGACTACCTGCTCGTTTGGCGTCGCCTATCAAATCCATATACCCTGAGGTCTGACCAAGAGGTCCGGGTGAAGGCATTAGATAATCGTCTTCATCGACGGGCAGTTTAAATGAGAAATCACTTTTTGTCGACATATTTGTATTGTTTCTCATTACTTCACAGAAGTCTCCGTCTATTTATATTAAATACAAACAAAACAAAACAAAAAAACAATTTATTAATAACTTTAATAACTAAATAATTTAGTTAAATATATCCGGATATTATAAAAATAATATATATATATACATACCTTTACCCATGACTTTGACGGGGTCTGAACTGTATCGACCCGAGCCCTGACTATTTTCCCTTAAGTGTCCATTCATTTGATAAAGGGATGGGTCTAAATGAGCGAACTTATAGTTAACGAAATCGCAATGTCTTCCGTAACCATTTAAAAATATATTTTGCCGATACTGGGCATCGAGTGTGTCATCGGTACAGCCGGACACCGAAAACCCGCTGTTAATTGGATCGCCTTCGAAGCCGCGATCGTCCATAAATTTTTTGATGGGTGTCGGCGGCGGCGGTGTGTCGCCACCCGAACACGTTTTGCTTGGCTGCAGATATTCTTCGGCATCCATTATGGTTTCGGGTCCTTCAATAGGCATACTAAGCGTACGGATCAGTTCTTTTTCGTCCTGTTGTGTATACGATGGCAGACGCATTAGTTTGTCGCCCGGTATGACCAGATAGCGGCCCGGATCGCGAGCCATTTTGGCAAACTCTTCGGCCAGCTCTTTGAACGATGGCCGCGACTCGGCATCAAGCATCCAGCACTTGATCATTATCATGTAGACATCGATTGTACAGATAGTTGGCTGCGGTAGGCGTTCGCCTTTTTGCAACAGATCGGGCACATCACGGGCGGACACACCGTCGTATGGTTTGGATCCGTATGTCAACAGTTCCCAAGCTATTCGTTATAATAAATAATAATATATCAAATCAAAAAAAAAGATTAATAAGTTGTCAAACAGTTATCAAATATAAAGATAATAATCTCTATAAGAGATTAATAGATGACATACCAGTGACGCCAAAACTCCAGACATCACTCTTGTGAGTGAATATCCTGTGCTGAATGCACTCGAGTGCCAGCCATTTGATAGGCATCTTTCCGCCCGCGGCTTTATACTCGTCTTCATCGATCTCAAGAAGTTTAGCCAAACCAAAGTCCGTAATTTTTACACAACCGGGTGTCTGAAGTAATACGTTTCTGAGGGCCAGATCTCTGTGAACCATTCGTTTTTCTTCCAAATAGGCCATTCCTCTGGCTATTTGTGTGCACCAGTTGAGCAACGGTTTGGAGCCGATCTTGTCTTTGTTATTGCGTACATAATCGAGTAGACAGCCTAATGGCATCAGTTGGGTGACCAGCATCAACTGGGATGTCATACAAACGGCCAGCAGTTTAAGTAGATTTGGATGGTCAACACTGGCCATTATGTAGGCCTCTTCCAAGAACTCTTTGTTAGTATTAGGCTGAGTGCCTTCGCGCAGTACTTTGATGGCAACCGGTATTTTGACATTTTCACCCTCGGGAACCCAAACTCCCTTATAAACGGTACCGAAAGCTCCGTAACCTAACGGTATGCCACCCTTACGTAGTTCAGCTTCTTTGACAATCCTGAGCTGAGCCAAGTTTGGCTTTATGTTAGATGGCTTCAGGGGTTCGTTGTCGTCGAAACCACTCATTCTCATTGTCAACTTCATGGTATTCTCCTTAGTCCGGGCCCGTTGTAGCCATTGATAGCTGAATATTGCCAGAAATACGCCGAAGAGTACAACACAGCCGGCACTGCCGCCAATGATGACAGTCCAGGGATCTTCTTCGGCGTTGACACCATAGGCAGCTATATTCGGATCTTTATCGGAACAGTAGGGATCTTCGTTGTTGTCTTCGAACACTTTGTACGGCTTCTCAGTTGGACACGAAGCGGTACAGTTGAACAGTTTTTTGTCGTCGCCATTGTAGACACGATAGTTACGGCAGGCAATACAGTTGCTGGTTGTAGGACCGTAACACTTGCGACACTCGTCGGCACATTTGACACACTTGTGATTGGCTTCATCAGCGTAGTGATCGCGCGGACACTGGTCTTCGCATTGTTCACCTGAACTGTAGCGCAAACACTCGCAAACCGATACATGAATACCAAAAGCGGTACAATTTTTGCACCGCTGATGACATTTACGGCAAACCGATTTCCCAGTTAACGATTTGAGTGCCCCTTCCTCCTGGGGACCAATGTATTCGTGATAGAAACCATCGGGACACGGTTCTTCGGCTTTCAGACATTCCTCCACAACATTCGGGTCGTACATACTGACGATAGCCTTTTCGCATGATTTGCATCCGCCATCGCCGAGTTTATTCTGCGAACCAGTACAACCCTGGACACAGTTTTCGTGACAGGGCTTACATTCGCCATTCAGGCCGTACTTGGAAACCGGACATTCGCCGACACAATACGGTCCGTCCCTAACATGTCTACATTGTGAACAATTGCCAGCTCCCGGACCAAAGCATTCGCCTAAACACTCTTCGTGACAGTGTTTGCAGATATAATTTCCAGCGTCATAGATGCTGTCAGAAAATATGTATGTATTATGTGTTTGATGTGTATTACTAAATAGTGACAGATCTATCAGATATTTATTTGATTTTGATTTTTTTTTTAATATACAGTATATATAAAACAGACATTACATTGCATTCCTGAGCTGAGTGAGTGAGAGATAGAGATAAAGCATTAGCTTTATATTAAAGTTATAATTAGTTTTGATGGGATAGAGAGAGAGAGAGAGAGAGAGAGAGAGAGAGAGAAGATAGATAGATAGGGAGATAGAGTGAGTCCTAATGAAAAAATAGCGAAGAGCTTAGCGGAGTGTTGTACTGTAGAGAGTCTTAAGAGAGAGACGACGACTAAAGACTACTTACCCTAAACTTGTGTTACAACTTTGAATGCATGTCTCTCCCAATCTATACGAACGGCATGACAGGCATTCATCTGGTCCGGGACCCCAACAGCCATCACTACCACATTGTGAGTGGCAAACCAGTCCTTTATTACCTGTACAGTGCACATACATACACAGATAGAGAGAGAGAGAGAGAGAGAAAAAAAACAGGTATTTTTAGGAATGGTATGTTAAATACCTCTTTCATCATATAAAACTATGTAATAAAACTTACGGCACTTGTCCTCATCGCCATTGCTCTGTAATAACATATTATGGGAACTGGATCGCATCACTTTCTTCCAATCAATACTCGATGCAAAACATAGGTCTTTGTTCTCGAGTATGGCTACACTGCCTGATCGGACCTTTTTCAACGATCGCAGCGACAACGACTCAAGCGATGTCTTAACAATATAGAGTGCGGCAAAATATTCGGTCAGTTGTCGGCCACCGATGATATCCAGATTCTTAAAATACGACAGGTTTTTGAAATCCTGATGCGATGCCTGGATGCTGACAAAACCGGTAACTTCGCGCAGTGTACTGAATACTTCCAGTTTTTGCGGATGCATACGAGGATAGTGGGGTCCGAACGTAAAATTAGCGTAAACTTCTTGGAAACCGTTGAACGAAGTGTCCAGAATGGTCAGCGAACCTTCGATGATCGTACAGCCTTTGAATGTGTCGATATTGCCGGCGTGAACCACTTCAACGCCCTGGCAGTTCTTCGGACAGGGACCATCGCACGGTACACATTCGCCATTCAGGGCTTTCTTATTKGGCGGACACGACCGTACACAAGCGCCGTTGTCTTTGAGCAGATGATCCGGACAATTTTTCACACAAGTAGCACCGTAAGCGTACTTTCCTTCCGGATTACTTTCCCACGAATAAGTGGACGGATTGTAGCGCATCATTGGCGGACACTCTTGTTTGCAGACACCGTCGTCGAAGAAGTTGCGACAGGCCTTTTTTGGAATTTTTGAAAAATTTGGAAATTTAATTACGGAAACAGTTAGCCAAAAAAAAAATACAACCCAATCATCGATATAAATAAACAAACTAAACACTTACAAGACAATCACTTTGTTTGGGACCGGTACAGCCGCCCGCGCAAAACAGATGACAACACTCCCTAGGGTTGGGTCCGAAACAGCGCCCCTGATGACACTGAGGCGAACAATTGATTTTGGAAAACTTCTGGCAATTATGCGATCCCTCGCCCCAACAGCCCTCTTCGCAAGACTCATGACATGGCGGACCTGTTATTAAAAAAAAAAACAAAACAAAAATAATTTAAAAATCATTATTAGTAGGATTCAGAAGACATCTGATGTGATAATATGACTATTAAAACAATAGTCATCCAAAAAATTTAAAAAAAAACTTTTGCTTACAATCCCGTTCCGGTTGAGTAAAATTATAGACATAGATGGTCTTTGCTTTGGAACCCGTTAGGATCTCATCCCAATTGATGGTACGTATATGACAGAGATTGTAATTATTGAAAAAGCCAACACTTCCCGATAGTATATCTTTTTTTTTGTTTGGAAATAATTTATAATAATATAAATCAATTGTACAAAAAATAAAATAAAACATTTGCATCCACACAACAACAACCAGAGTCACCATCACATACCTCTGAGTGCAGGCATTTCCAGGTTTTCCATTTTGCTTAGGGTTACCATCAATGCAAACTCTTCGTCCCTAACATTCAGCTTAAACAGTGTTCGTCCTCTGATTATCTGAAGACTCGGCAACACTATCCGTTTGACGTCCACATGCGATATGAGTACATAACCGGTTACTTCCCGAATGTATTGCAAAAAATTCAGGTCCAGATTCTTGTCCTGAAGCCATGTTAGTTCCAGATTTCCATCGACATACGTACAGTTGGTATACCTGTCCCGTAGATTTTGGAAATGGTGTTCCCGATTGGATGGCACTGACATACGGCCATTGGTTCCAATGCATACTAAATACAAAAATTAAGCAAATATTCACACMMAMAAAAATTAGCAAATAATAAACTTTAAAAACTTAAAGTATTAAATACATATAATATATTTATGGGACTATCAGCTTATGGGACACCTGTTTATAGTTACACGCACTGTGCGTATTCATTATTAATATTATTATTTAATTAACAAACAGTAAATTAAATGCATATTTGCATATTTTATGACCGCAAATATATATTTAATCCCGYACTTCCCGTACACACACACACACATTGAAACAATTGACACCCCTATAGGATATACTGTAGTTTTTTTGTTGCTTAAAATGCAAGTTTTTTTGTGACCATATTATATCATATATGATATGATATTTGACAAGTAAAATGTGGGCTGAAAATTGTATACTACTATATAAAGTATATAATATTATTTACTTTTAGTTATAAGCTAATTAAATGGGATTATATAATTTTTTGTTAACGATAATAATAATAATAATTTATAATAAGTATTGTTTAGTATAATCACTAAAAAATCACACAATTTCATAAATAAATATTTATATATTGTAAAAATTAAAAATCATAGACAATAATATAATAGTTTATTAAAAACTATCTAAAGATTTATGGTGACACATCATAATAATTGCGCAAAAATATTTTAAGCGCAAATACATAGCATATATACTGTATATATATATACTGTATGTTAAATATATTGTTTATCGTGACATCCTATTGTAAGTGATCATCCAATTGATTGAATTTTGTTTAGAAATAAATAAACTATCAAATAATACTATTAAAAAAAATCACGGTATTTATAAAGCAAATTATATTAAGTAACAAAAAAAGAGTATTGACTAAAAATTGAAATATTTAAAAATATTTTCCAATGCATATCATAAATTGCATATCAATGCCTACCAATAACCTAACACAAATAAAAACTTTTTTGCATATATTTTCAACAAAAAAATATTTCAACAAAAAACTAGCGACAAATCAAACAACAAACAAACTTATTATTATTATTATTTGCACACACAATATAAGCTGCATTATATATACAGTATATATATACACAATCTGAATCTCTATAATTATGGTGGGATTAAACCTTATCACAAAAAATACAATAATATATTATATACAGGTATATACTGTACAATAAATAAGATTTTTAATAAATATATATATATATAGATATTAAATAATTATCTATTGATACGAGTTCAAATAATTAAATTTGCAATGTTAAACACATACGGTACATAATATATATATGATATATATATAATAAATAAATATTTAATTAATAAATATTGAATATTTATATATCATATATTGGTAAATATTATATATATATATAGAAAAAATCGTTGAATACGTAAACAAATTATATWTATATACAGTATAAATATAATAACATAAGTATATATAAATAATTAAATGAGAACGACAATAATAATAATAATTATTATTATTTAAACAAAAAAAAATTTTTTTTAAAAACGGTTATATAAGTTATATATATATATTAATATATTTCAATATATATATATATATATATATATATATAATTGACACTAACTTTTGCCTTTTGGTATGTGATTGCCTTTTTGTTTGCCACCTCTGACCAGAATAGTATTCACTAGTATTACACAATTTGCTAACAATATTGAATAAATAATAAATAATTTGACGATCGATGATAATTCATAATTATTAATAATTTTAGTCCTCATTATTGTCCAAATAATGAGAAACATAAAATTAATTAGTAAATTAAATAATAATAATAATAGATTTGGTCGCAAATGGTTTGACCATTTAAGGGGTTCATAACATTTTTTGTTGTCCTCACATAACATATAACAAGTGGTAGTGTTTTTTTTATCTTTAAAATTATTATTATATTAACATTATATTATTATTATTAATATTATTAATACACAACACAAGTATTTTTTGAGACAAACGCATAGCGAGTGTATTGGCGTTTTGGCAGAGACTACACAACACATTCACACAACAAGTTTTTCTCTCTCTCAGAAAAAAGTCTTCAAAAAAAATAAGATAAGACTTTATAATATTTCTTGAGGAGAGAGAAAAGTTTATAACAAAATGGCATAAAACCAATGCATTTGATTTGTATGTATGTATGTGTGTGTGTGTGTGTGTGTGCACTGTATATGTGTGTTGTTGTTGTATATTAGGTGGTGTTTGCACTGTGAAGGCAATGCTAACTACTCTTCAAGATGTGGAGCACAGCTACATAACTAACTATAAGTTTAGAGCTCCAGAGGAGTAGTCGACTCTCTCATACTGTATGTATGTACTGTATGTAAGTATGTGTTTGATCTCAAAGTTGTTTTTAGAGGGGGCTGTTATATAGAGAGGGGCCAATACCTGTTGAGGGGGAACGATAGGCTCTCTCTCTCTCTCTCTCTCTCTCTCTCTCAAACTTCTACTAATATTTCTAGTTTTCTTAGCCCTCAGCGTGCAATGGGGTAAAAATATGCGGAGAAGTTTTAAGCACATAAGTAAATATATATTGGAGGGATTAATACCATATAAACGAAAAATGTATGTACGTTTGCGAGTATGTATGTATGTATRTATGCATGTATGTGCCACACAGTGCAGTGCACACTATCTACCAAAATGTATACCTTATGTATTTGCTTCTCCACCTATGTTACCCTGGCTTCGAAAAGCTCACGTATCTCTAAACTAACTGTGTGTATGTGTGTGTGTGTATGTACTTTATATTTAGCTATATATTGTATATAAGTTATACATCTTATACTTTATATATATATATTGACATCTCGTGAGTGAACGACTCATAATCTCTACTTATTTTATCTCTCTATACCTAATGGTTCTCTGTCTCTCTCCTATGTCTATCTGGTCTATCTCTCTCTCCCTTTCTCTCTCTCTCTCTCCCAATACCTATACCCAAACATTTCATCTATTATTAGAGAGTGCAGTGCAGTTGCAAAATACAGGAGGAATTTCGGGGAAGAGTAGCCCCTGACCTTTCACATGCTAGCTCACGGCAGCAGCAAACCAGCACAGGTATCGATGCTCTCTCTCTCTCTCTCTCTCTCCCAATACCTGTTCCCTTTTTTCACTCACTCACTCAGTCACACACACACACTGTCCCTCTCTTAATACCTGTGCGCAAACATTTTTGCCCAGTGCAGCAACAAAAATCGTGAGTCGCTCATCTTTAATTTGCAGTGTATTCAACACATAAAGCTATAAAAATTGAGCCCAAAATCCAATACCTGTAGACTATTGTATAGTCCCGGTGCTGGGGCTTTCGTGTTGTGCAAAAGCAGTCATTTCGATAACTGACTGACGCTCTCTCTCTCTCTCTCTCTCTCTCTCTCTCTCTCTCTCTCTCTCTCTCTCTCTCTCTTTATTTTCTCACTTGTGAATAGTCCGGAGCCAACAAAAACAACAAAAATCTAATTTATTATACAATTATGGCTTTAAGAGTAGTAGTCCAATCACTATATATATATATATATATATATATATTTGCAAACTATTTGCAATACTATTTAATATTATTATTATTATTATTTTTCAGAGAATTTTTTAATCACTTTCCGATAATTTGTCTCTAAATAAAAAAAAATGACGGCTACTTTATACTCAYATATATATATATATAWATTATATAAGCAGCACCTGTAGATCGTGTTCATAAGCCCTTACCATAAATTTTTATGTCATTAATTTCTAATATTATACATGTAAAGTACTAACTTATCTATGCAGTAAAAATATATATATATAATCTCTTATATATATATTATATAATATAATTTTAAATATTTGCTTTATTTCGTGCATTACTTTAGGATATGAATTATATATATAATATACTGTATATAATACAGTATATATAGTATTATACAAACATATATAAACTTATATTTGACACCACAAACACAGTATTAAAAAAAATATTTTTCATATTATTATCTAAAGAAAAATTGGTAAAACATCTATTAATTTCTTTTTTGGTAACATTTTGTTACATAAAATAACTATATTTTCATCTAATTTTTGTGCAATAAAAGTTATCTTTAAAACAAATAATATTGTAATTTAATAATATAAATAATCGCTAAACAAAATTTTTTTTGTGTGTTAATTTAATCTATAAATGTTAAGACAAAAACACACAGTAAAGAAAAGGTCATATAAACTAATCGATTTAATGATTGAGAGAAAATAAATTTTAATTAATTTTTATCTTAAAATGTAGAGAAAGAGAGAGAGAGAGAGAGAGAGAGAGGTTTTTAAAAATATTATTATTAACAACAAGAAAAAATGTTGAGACGAGATAATCAGTTTACATCAAAAAAAAAAAATAGAAAAACTAAAAATTTAAAATAAAAATTACAAAAAAATTTAATGTATGACAACCAAAAATAATTTTAAAAACATGTTTCATAAAAAATTGTTTCAAAATTAATACTAAATGCCCAAAAAAGAGTCCTCTAATCTCAAATTATCTATCAATTTATAATATCATATATTTAAAAAAAATGTTTAGAGAGTCGACTAAATATTTGAAGAAAAAGAAAATTTTTATATATTTTTTCTGAACTATAAGTTTGTGGTATAACTAGAAAAGTCAGTATCTATTTAGTTATTGGATAGGAGTCTAAGGTATACATAAATATATTTATAAATTATACTTATATACAGTACTTATACTATATATATATTAATATATAACCATATGGTATATATACCTATATTTTTATATATACAGTATAAAGAAAATATATGTATATATAACCATAAAAGAGTGAAAGTCAACATAATTTTTAAGCCTCACATCAATTAAGGTTTTATATATTTTAAAAATGACATAAAACAAGCAAAAAAATAAAATATAAAATTAAAACGTTTTAGCAGTAAAACTATTTGAAAAAGTTGATGTCTGGAAATATTTATTGGAATATTTAAATTTATTTTCAGACATAAAATTTGCTATTATTATATTTGTGTAATTAATGTACTATTATATGTACTAATGTACTAATAATATATCTATTTATTTATCTTTTTGTTTTAATTTTTAACGCAAATATTAATAATTAATAAATAATTATTTTAATACTTAATGATATATGTGCTTTTTTAAATAGTGAATTACATAATTAACACTATTGTAAAAATCTTCTATAATTTTTTGTATCAATGATAATACAAATATAATTAACAATTATTGTATAATAATTAATGAAATATATTTTAATAATTTATACTTTATTAAGAAAATATATGAAAATTATATTTTTTTAATAGTTTTATTTTATTTGTATTATTTTAGATCTAAAATGTAATAGTTAATTAAAATTATTTTATATTAAATTTTTAAATTGGACATCTCATTTATATATATATTTTTTAAAAAAAATAAGTAGATTTTTATTATAAATAATTTATTAAAATAACATCATTATGGGTGAATGTCTTGAAATCGTTTAATTTTATTATTATTATCATAAATTTAGTTGACATGTATTAAATACATGCTAATAATAATTGCTAACAATTGTGTAAATAGTTGTGTAAATATATATCAATACATTTTCTAACATATGTTGCAATGTATTGATGTATAGATATAAATGTATAAAATCTGATTTGATATTTTACAACAATCATATTAATTAAATTAACACATTTTAAATATTGTTTTTTTCATTTTAACATTTTAAATCAAGTTATATTCAGTTTATACAACATTATATAAAAGTGTTTAACATATGTGACAATTATAAAAATTTGAAATTATCAATTCAACACATGTTTATACTATTAGCATATATGATAGTGTAAAGTATTATATATAAAGCATTTTATATATATAAATGATATATGGTATACACAACAGAGTATGAGTATATACAGTAACTTATCGTATAAATTATAAATCATATAATTTATATACATATAGCGCTAATATATCTATTAATTAAATAATTAAATCAATATAATTAAGCGCATTTCAAGACATGTCATTTTTATTATTAGGGGAATATATTATATTATATCTAATATAATATAAATTTACAATATATTTACAATGAAAATATACTGTATAATAAATATTTATTTTATTTTATTTTTTTGAATAATAAACTAAAATAATTTCCCTCCAATGCCCATCCAATCCCTATTTATTAGTTTTATCAACTTTGAACTGCAATAATAATAATACTAACATTTGACAACAAAAACAACTACAACATAATACAGTAATAATACTAATACAACTAATACAGTAATAATAAATATCAAAAGTTTTTAAATAAAGTATTTTTGTTTTGTATAATAATATTCGTTGTTTTATGAGTTTGGAGTCCAAACACTTTCGAGGAGAGAGAGAGAGAGAGAGAGAGAGAGAGAGAGAGAGAGAGAGAGAGAGAGAGAGAGAGAGAGAGAGAGTCTGAGAGAGCAATATATTGCAATATTTAGTTTTGTGTATTACTAACAGTTAACAGACCTCTTATTATTGGTTGTTATGCTAAGAGAAACCTTATAAAGAGTTTTTCCTAAAAACCTTATAAAGGTCTCTCTCTTTCTAAGCTCTCTCTCTCTCTCTCTCTCTCTCTCTCTCTCTCTTTCTGTACAAACACTAATGAGAGGTGTGTTTTGTTAACAGTAGTTCCAGTG